AAGAACTAGTTTTACTATACATAAGCATATATAATTTCTTAAATTATCTGATTAATATTCATTCAACAAGCACTTAGGTACACAGCAAATATTTTAACAACATTAACAGCAGAGGCAAATCTTTTCAGCATCCTCATTTATTTGAAAAAAGCAGTCTTCTTTATTTGAAGACCCAAACTAAGGATTGGTAAACTATTTTTGTAAAGGGCCAGAGAGTAAATATTTTCAGCTTTCTGTGCCACACAGACTCTGTATAGTCTACTCAACTCTTCACTCACAGAAAATATGTAAAGAAATGATTGTGGCTTTGTTCCAATAAAATTTAATTTGCAAAAACAAGGCAGCAGGCTGGATATCCTTACCTCCATTCTAAAACAACACTTGTAGGTTTTATCAGTTTCTCTTAACTTATAAATTTACTCAAAATAACTAAAAAATAAAGTATCAGAACATGAGAAGAGGGTCCAAATTACACTGGAAATTTTAAGAAATCCCCTAAAAAGTTTCCTGTTTTAGGTCTATCAATTTTCCTTATAGAAAGAACACAGTCTATACAGACAGGGAATGTTGAAGTAAGATTTAGCTACAGAAAAAAAGTTTTTTCCTCGAATTTTCCAGGTCATTTTCCTAGCTGATTGCTTTCTATCCATTTCAAAAGTGACTGAGTCAGGAACCAAGAGGAAACTATTTGAACAAGAAGATGCTAAGTTCAATTTTGGATAAACTGATCTGAGACTGGTTGGACTTATGCCCCCATCAGGCAACCTCAAAAGCAAAACTTTAAGCTTCAGCTTCTAAAGCAAAACTAATCTCACTGATGTTTATTACTTTTAAACACTAGCCAATTAAAATACCCAGGGCCCAACCAATATATTTCCAAGAAACCCACAGAAAAGAACAGTGCTATTATTACATTTTGGTTTTATAAATCAATCCCAGATTTAATTAGCAAATGAACATACCAAACATGTTTTACCATTGATCAGGTTATGAGAGGTATTTTTATCTTTTTCAGTTTAGAAGCTTGTAAAATATTTGACCTTAAATTTGACAGCTTTTTATTATGATATACAAAAAAGGCAAATGGATTTGGAAAGTAAGATAGTGTCAGAAAAATGATCTCTAAACTCAAGGGAAATGTTTTAAATTAGTTTTGACAATTTTTTTTAGGTTGACAGTTAAAATCTAAATGAAAAAAATTTCTTGTTTCAATCATTCCCTATTTATCTTGTAAAGTTTTTGATATAAATAATAATAATAATATCTAGCACGTTATTAAATTTCAACATAGACAATGCACTGTGCCATTAGTATACAGAAGTACCCTGTGAAGAACTGCAGTGTAGAGTAACTTCCCCAAAGTGAAAGTCTTAAACCAAGTCTGAGTCACTTCAAATTTCACAACCCCAAATGTAGTTATATGCTTTCACGGCATCTTTAAACAAATGAGCTGTGCAAAAGAAATCTTAGATTGAAACATTTGAGTTATTTTATTCTTTCTTCTCTAATTTAAATCTCTGTCCACAAATTATTTGACAAAAGACTGTTTCTGGTTCTATATTTTTCCTTGCTAAAAATCTGCTGCTGCCTCTGTACTTACTTTAGAATAAATTTTGAACTTCCAAGCATGGTACTCATGCGCCCCAAGATCTTGTCTCAGCTTTCCCACTCTACCATGTCATAAACCATACTTTCAGGCACCATGGGCTTTCATTCTTGGTCTGTGCGCATTCCTGAGGCTAGAGGAAGACTTTCCCATTTCAGCTTGTCAAATCCCTCTTATCCATGAGCCTCAGCTCAAATGATATCTCCTCCATGAATTTTTCCTTAACTCTGCCAGTAATAACAATCGCTTTCTTCTCTGTGCTACCATAGCTCTTTGGTATAATAAAGGTACTATACCTTTATTTTGGCTTTTATCATTCTTTGCCTTACATTTTTGTTGTCAGTGAGTCTGTCCATCTTTCTGTTCAGGCATCCTTGAAGACTGAGATGACAATGTATTCCTCTTGGTATCCCTCACAACACCCAGCATAATACTTTGTACATGGCAGGTACAAGTAAGATTTTATACGAGGAATTGAGCAGAAACTCCATGTTGCTAAAATCCCTGTAATATTCAGCTCTCCAGGAACCCACAACCACTTGTAGAATGCCAAATCCCACGAACCAATTCTATAAAAACTGTTGAGGAGTTCTTGGTTTCTGAAGGTAGTAGGACACACTATAAAGTATTGAATAGAGAGACATGCTATTGAATCAGGGTAGAGGGCAAAGGCGTAAATGTCTTCCAGAAAGGACACTTTGTGTGAAGATATACTGAAATGAAATATATGAAATACAAATCTTCAGAGGTGTTGAGTAAATAAAGTTTGCTTTTGACAATAATGTCTTGCAAACATTTAAGAAGGTGAAACTAGATGGGGATGGAGGAAGTGAAGAAAAATACTGTTGAATTCTTCTGAAGAAAAGATCAAGTTGTGGAAATCAGTGAAGTAGTCTGGGGAGTGAGAAGGGAGCATGCTGAGCAACATAGTATTAGCTTCCCGTTTGTTGCCTCTTACATCCCAACTTCTCCCAATTTGTATTAGCCACATACTTCTCATATACTCCATTCCTGCTTGCATTTTCAAAATATCTTTTAAAGGGTAAAATTTTAATAGAATGCCCTGGCCATTTAGCTCAGTTGGTTAGAGCACTGTCCCAGTATGCCAAGGTTGTGGGTTTGATCTCTGGTCAAGGCACCTACAAGAATCAACCAATGAATGAATAAATAAGTGGAACAACAAACCACAAGTCACTGTTTCTCTCTCAGCTCTCTCCCTCTCTCTCTCTAAAATAAATAAATAAAAATATTTAGTAGAAAATTTTATACATATACAAAGCATTTTTTTACTATATTTTCTAGATCATCAGTAGGCTTGAAATTATTAATACACACTGGAAAGTAAAGGTATCACCTAAATCCAGAAAATGTTTACTAATGAAATGACTGAGAATTAAATAACCAGAGGTGAGTAGCTACCAGTTAAAACCTCTGATGATTCTTCTCCATTTAATCCTCAAGTGTTGTTATGAGCTGGAGTTATATGTTCAGGCTATGTACCTTCTCACTCAATACAGCCTTCCTAGATTGGTAATCATCAACTCCTTGATTTAACCATCAGATCCATCTGTATGATGGTTTAGACTCCATATTGAGACTTCCTTTCTTTCAAGCTCCAACTGTTCTTTGGGTATTTTAACTAGGATATCCTAATGACCCCTTCAACTCAGTATATTTATAACCAAATGCATTAATTCTGCTTCCCATATCTCCCAAATAAACGAAAGCGCTCCACTCCGTCTTTGGTTCCAATCTTAGTTAAAAGTGTCACCTACCTAGTCAACCAACTTAGAAATCTGTAGTCATTTTAAACTTCTACTTTCTCTCATTCCCCAAACCTTATTGATTCTGCATGCATCCTACACTCTCTCTTTAGATGAAATTTCATAACGCTGGGAACAGGCAAGATTCCACAACTTTGGAAAGCAAAACAAAACATAATAGGTTATATGCAAAAAGGATCAGGGACTAGAATGACTCTGGTCATGTCAACAGAAATAACAGAGGCCAGAAGATAATGGAGCACAGCCTTCAAATTTCTAAGGGTAAACATTTTTCAACCAATGGTGAGGCTAATATAATAAGTGATTTTTCAGAAATAATTTTCAGAAAATAATGATTTTTAGACATTCATGGCTTCAAGTTGTTTGCTTTTCATGTATTATTTCTCAGGAAAATATTAGATGATACGTTCTACCAAAAGGAGGGAGTTAAATAAAAAGTGGAAAACATGGAATCCAGGAAACTGGGTAGTAAAACTGGAAAAAGGCAAAGGGGTCCTCATGATGATGGTGATTGATAGATATATAGTCATAATAATTTGATATAATAAAAATTGATATGTTTATATTGGAAGAATGGAGGGATGGGAAATGTGTTTGAGGAGTTAGGTAAGATAAGAGAGCAGTCCTGGATCCTAAGTCCTTTTCCATATAAGACAAAGATAATATCCCAGACACAGAAAGATCAAGAAACAGCTTCCTAAACTTTGCATTTAGAAATGTGGAGGCGAATATCAGGAATAATAGCTCAAGGAGTTGAATAGTTGCCTCTGGGGGTGGGTCACAGGGGACTGCTGTTTTTCATTATTAAGTCTTGCAGTATTATTTGACTGTTTAGATTATGTGGATGTAAAACTCTGATAAAAGAAGAAATAAAAAGATAGGTACTCTTTTTAAACATAAAGTGACTATTTTGTGTTATAATCCCATAGGCAAAGGCTCTCAGAGCTAGAAAGAGCTCTTGAGATCCAGTCTCATTTTTAACTTCCCTAATGTAATGTTTATAATAAAAAGAACATGCTGATTTCTCTACTCAAATCAGTTCTCCTTTCCTGCAAAGTTTTATCATTCCATATCAATGATTCCAACAGATGTTCTAAACAAACAACCGCAGTTTAACAGTAACGAGAAATGGTTACATTTGCTGGCCTATGCCCTCTCTCCTCCTCTCCCTCCACATGTCCCACCCAAGAGAGTTAAACACTTAAGATTTGTGGCCCCATTCCATATAACACACTTGGTCTATGGATGAATAAAACATGCCAGGCTCTGTCCTTATGATTCTAAGACTGCATGAAACATTTTTCTAGTGTGAGGAATACGGTTTGATTAACCACCTGCTGAATTAAGTCTAGGAGAAGGGAAGTTTCGGTGAAAAGTTTTTTCTCATAAAAAATAAATATAATTTTAAGAGTCAAAAAGCCAACAATAAAAATAGTTCCTGAGAGTCACTTTGCTTAATTACATTATTTGGGGTTATATAAAATAGATGTTCACTTTATTTTTTAGATTTATTTTTAGAGATGGGGGAGGGAGAGAGAAAGAGAGGGAGAGAAATGCTGATGTGTGAGAGAAACACTGATCGGTTGCCTCCCACATGCCGCTAACCAGGGACCTTTGGGAGATATATGCTACTACTCAACTTCTACTATAAGATGGCAGCCCTAACAATTCTGTTACTGAAGCATGTTATGGATATATTCGTTCTAAAGAAACGAGGAGGAGACATTTCCACATGCAGTTCACTTTTAAAATCATATTTACTTTAACCATTGCCTGGATACATGCAATAATTAAATGGTACATATTGTCTCCTCTACTAAGAATAATACTGAGAAGGGTATTTATTTATAAGAATAAATACAGTAGCTATCCTGAAAGACTCCTTTGAAGTCCATCTCCTTGAATATCAGAAGGTTTTCCACTACATACAAGATCTACTTTTATTATGAAAGCTTGTGAGCTTTGTAAAGTCTTCAAATCTTAAGTTCTCATTTTTCATGGTAGTGCTCTTTTCCAGTTACTCCATATACTGAAACATCAGATTAATTGTTAACAGATCATTAAAAATGACAGATCAGGTTGGGCCTTACACCTGACTTAGTCCTGAATGTAAATTGGGTGTTATGGGACATGGACATGCAGTCTTTTGGATCACTAGGGTCATATTACTGCACTGAAGCACAGGTAATTTACTAACTCTAGGCAAAATCTGAGCTGGTGGTTAAAAATTGATGGAGAGTTTGGTATTACTGATAGGGCAGTCTTTTTTTTCCCCTGCTTTTTTTGTTTTGTTTTAGAGAAAGAGGGAAAGGGGCAGAGAGACAGACAGACACTGATTTATTGTTCCACTTATTTATGTAATTATTGGTTGATTCCTCTATGTGACCTGACTGGGGATCAAACCCACAACCTTAGTGTATTGGGACGACGCTCTAACCAACTGAGCTACCCAGCCAGGGCTGTTAGAGTGCTCTTAATACCTGCCTTCAGAATGCCAGTTTTCTAATTTGGGGCTAACCAGCTTAGATAAATATTTGTATTTATGCTTTATTTCTATTTATACACTTTGGAGAAGATGTTTCATTTAAAGAAACACCAACAGTAAGAAAAATCACATGGCAAATACTCTATTTATCACTATTAAAAAATAAACCACATTGCTTTTCTACTCAATTTTCAAGTATAAAAGAACTTTCTGAAACATTTCTTAAGCACTGTTAGCCTTAACACCCTCAGCCTTTAGAAATCAGTGAATATTTTTGAATCGTACTACATGCAAAGCATCGTACTGCTAAATTCATCCAAATCTTGTACTATTAGCTTATGTATTTTCTTAATTCTTGCCGTAATAAATTTGACTGGTGTAGGTCAAGAGAATGTAGCCAAGGATATATCTCCTTTAGAAATGAAACTTGGTATTCTCAAGGTCATTAATAATGTTATCGAAAATAATAAGTTTGGGTAAATAAAATGTACCCATAAAATACTACACACCTTGCAGGAACCAAACAGGACATACTCAAACAGGTAAAATCTGCTTTTACCTCAACACTGATTCACTTGGAAAGTAGCTCTGCAGTCTACACTTCAAACACAGAAGCTAGCATCTCTTGTTCTTAGATTATAAACACAATGCCTATATTATCAAAGAGTTCATTTTCTCCAAACATTTGAATTGTTTGGTAAAGAAGTAGTATTGAGTTTCTTTATGTTAATCTAAAATAATATTGAGCTTCAAGAGTTATATTTCAGACTTGTGAAGTTAAAGCTCAAAAGATCTCAGAGTTGGAATTTTTGAAAGGCAAAAGATGAAGAAAGAAACTGGCCAGGGTTAAGAGGTGTAGCATGGCACACAACCTATTCTTGTCTGTTTTTTATTTTTGTACCACCCTGCTTACAGCATAAGAAAAAGGAACGTTTGTAGATGTGAAAAAAAGAAGGCAAGATTTTGAACCAATTTTTAAAGATTAATCAAAGGTATTTTGAAAATAGTTCCTTGCATTCTTCCAAAGGATTAGCAGCAATATTTTGTGTTGGGTAAAAAAAGTACACATTTCTGAAATGTCTAATGTAGAAAGTAGGTGATTACTAAATTTATTTTTATACAAATATTAAAACTTCTTGATTACCCTGGCTAGTGTGGCTCAGTGGATTGAGTGCTGGCCTGTGAACCAAAGGGTTGCCAGTCTGATTCCCAGTCAGGGCTCATGCAGGGGTGGCTCCCTATTTAGGGACATGTGAGAGGCAACCAATCTATGTTTTTCTCCCTCTCTTTCTCCCTACCTTTCCTTCTCTCCAAAAATAAGTAAATAAAATCTTAAAAATAAACTAATGAATAAACAAACAAAACCTTCTTGACCACATTCCAAATCTTTTGGAATCGCAGAGAGCCTACAGTATCAACTATGACAAAATTTTGAATTTGGGGCTATACTATACTTACCACATAATATACACCCTGTCTAGAAGAGTAACTTATTTTTTAACTCACTGCCTCTAAACAATTTTTCTGATTTACTTTTTTTCACTTTAGATGAGAAGTAGAAAAGTAACTAAAAATTTTTATATTGCATGAAATATTCTATTGATTTGTGCTTTTTTTTTTTTACAGAATTAACTTTTATCTTCAGACTTTCCATCTCAAATTCAAATACATCTTGATGAAGTTAACTCTATACAAACAATGTAAACAGATAATCAATTTGTAAGTTATAGAGAACTTCTATTATACTGAGGTCTATTTAAAAAATCTAAATTTACAAATGGCATAAAGTAGACCCTGGATTCAGTTACTGAACATTCTCCAATATATCTTCAACATACAGTAATGAAAGAGACTTAAAATTGGAGAAGGTCTATGCATTAATCATTATTTTAACTCTGATTGACAGAAAGGTTCCTTAGTGTCTGGATGACATCAAGGAGTATATATTATATGCAGAAATATTGACTGGGGTCAAGCCACAAACTTTTCCACAGTTACCTGGGATGACATTGGACTTACAGTATCTACTTTTCTGTGTTATGTGACTGTAGGCAATACCAATTTGACTAAGAAGATGAAAATACAATCAGAACTATTTTAAAAAGCAAAATAATGTAGAAGAAATAGCTGCCTTTAGGGAAATGAAGTTAGGATGCTCTACCTCAAGTCCTCATTGCAATGTATTTCAGAATGAGACATTCAAATTCTCAGCTTTTTCATTATCAGATTTTTCTTATTCTATGCCTACCCATCTCTCTGAAGGAATGCTTTCCTTTTATCTGGCAGATAGGAAATATTAGGGCTTGAGATTAGCAATATACTTTCTTATAACCAAAACAGTCGCCCTGTGATCACTTCTTTCAAACGAGCAATATACTATGATGGAAGAATGTGATTTATTTTCCAATAATGTGTTTACAAGCAACTTTTCAGGAACATAGCTCTTCTGCTAAGGTAGGAACATCTGTATTTACAACACAGATCTGAAACACCTACATGTTTTTCTGTATAACACAGCATGTTTCTCTTGGCTGAAACAATGTTTTATCTTCATAGTTGAGCAGGAATTTATAAATAGGTCGCTCGTGGTATTTTAGCCAGAAGAACATTTAGCCATTAGATTTGTTTTAGGGAAAACAGTGAAGTATAACAGCATAAAATACCATGTTCTTTCTAATTTGGCACATGCACACAAAGTTACCATCTGAAGTCTTCTTTAATTCAGTTTTCAGTTTTTCCTGTTCTTCTACCAGTTTTTTATTTTCTGCTTCCAAAATGCGTTCTTCTTCCTTGGTATAGCTTTTCAAAAGCTATGAGAAAAGAGAGTTACAGAAATGAACTTACATTGCAATAGCCAGATATTCTTCCAGAAAATGGTCTGAGTAATATATTTAAAATTATTAGTCTTTATTTTATTCTTTGTCTCTTTAGTATTTTATAGCTTTCTACAATGTAATTTTGCCAATAGAAATTTAGTATTTGGCAAACATATACAAATAAATATCTCCTTACAATTGTTGAAATCTCTGAAAAGAAAATAACAAGAGTTTCTGTTTGGACTATTATTAAAATTATATTTTCAAAAGTATTTAGGTAGCCCTGACCGGGTGGCTCAGTTGGTAGGAGCATCATCCTATTCACCAAAAGGCTGTGGGTTCAATTCCTGGTCAGGGCACATACCTAGTTGTAGTTTCCACCTCCAGTTGGGGCAAATATGGGAGGTGACTGATCAACGTTTCTCTCTCTCTCTCTCTCTCTCTCTCTCTCTCCCCCCCCCCACTTCCTCTCTCTCTAAAATCAAAAGGCATATTCTTGGGTGAAGATAAAAAAATAAAAATAAAAAATGAAAATACTATTTAGGTGAATAATTTGCATGCCTTTTCATCAAGTGTGTAATGCAAATCTAAGGAAAGATCAGTTCTGAAGATATTAATTGAAAGACAATTATGTGTCAGTTGTAGAGCTGTCTACTCTCACTATAAAGGTGGATTTGTAAGAGAAAAATATAATGTTGTGAGGGTAGAGGTGGGTAAGTACAAAATGAAAGGGCCATCTCTATGCTTGGAAAATTCTATCTAATTTTCATTAACTAGTCCTGAAATTAATTTTATTCAATTAATCCTTTACAATGCTCTTCATATTTTAAAATCTCTTCTGGCTTTTAAAGTGTTTATTTTATGTTTCTAGTTTATCCTTTATAGGCAAGAAAAATTAAAGTCTGAATAATAAAATATTTGACTAAAATAAAAACATAAATTTCATGATCTGTATGTCTAGGTGGAAACCATCATTGTTAATAGAATTAAGAAGTTGACATTGTAAAGAAATTTTAAGGTATTTCAGTTACCAAGAAAGGCAAATTAATGTTTGAAAAATAAAATATGTACACACTGGTATGGGTTATTTAACTAAAGTACAGCAACTTGATACTGACAGCTTCCATAGGTGAAAAAGCAACACAGAACAATTTAAAACAGATTGACACAGAAAAGAGTTTCTTCTGCAGATGGTTCCTTTTCTAACGTAAGCTGGTATACTCAACAAACAAATCATTCTGAGCACTGACTGCATGCAAATATTACAAAACTAAGTGTTATAAAGGATAAAAATGTAAAAGAAATATGGTCTTTCCTCTCAGGAAACTTCAGTCTAGTGAAAAGGATGAAACGAGAGCATACAAACTGTAGCACAAGGTCAAACACAGCACTACTGTGTTATAAAAGAGATTAGGCAGCTCCAGAGGAACTAAAGCTCTAATGAATGTATTATATAATCACAAGAAATTTTTTTAGGAGATAAGAGGACTGAAGTGCACACTACAACTAAAGAAGCCATATAGTTTCAAAATTCTTAAAAATTAAACAATTTAAAGATCAGAAACAAGAACAAAATTTTCTTCAAATCTCTATAAATTTCTTGCCCATTCAAGTTCAAAACAATTCTAGCTGTTGCTTTACTGAGTTCAGTTCCCACAGTCTCTCCAGTGATTACCCAAATTGGAAGGGAATCACTGAGTTGCAGGAATGTTTATACTGCCTGAATTACTATGCCATTTACTTGTAAAAGTTGAATTTGTGTTGGTCTTGTAAATATGCTTTCATTACTGCACCTGCAAACTTGTCCAAATTTATTATGTGTCACCTGAGGCTGAAGAAAAATCAAGAGTCTTGGAATCTGAAATTCAATAGTTACCAGCTACAATAATGCATGTGTTCACTCTCCCATCTACCTTATCCCATCTTGGTACACGGCTGGAAAAAAACTATTAAGAAATAAAACTCCATTACTGTTGTTATTTAAAGCAATTAAAAGTTAATTGGTCTTTCACAGAATCATTTCATTTAATTAACTGAATATCAGAATACAAAAGGGTCTCAGGCATCTTCTGTAAGTCATTTTATAGGCCAGTATACAAGAGAAAGAACAAAACAACATGGTTAAGACTGTGGATCCCAGAGTCAGATTGCTTGAATTAAATCTTAGTTCTGTCACTTAGCTGAACGATTGTGTGCAAGTCACTTAACATTTTTGTGCCTCCCTTTCTCACTGCAGATAATAGTAATATCAATTTCATGGTGTTGTTGCAAGAATTAAGAGTTAATATCGTACTGTGAAGCACTTGAAGTGCTACCTGGCACAGTGTTAGCTATTATTCATGACCTTGAGGTCCAGAACATATAAGGTGACTTGCCCTAAGTGACAATGCTAAGTATTGGTAGAGTTCAGACTAGCACCCAAGTCTTTTGGATCTCAGGGTAATATACTTTCCATTAGAAAATGTGTCTCTGACAGAGAATGAAGAGGTATTTTAGTAATTTTATCCTTCCTTAACTGGTATTTCAAAACCTACAAGAAGGAAGTATCTTGAAATAAAAGTCATCTTTGACATTCTAACCTATGGCCTTTATTGATCAATTAGTTGCCTTTTGTTTTTTGTTTTGAAAAAAACAGATTTTATCATTAACAAGGAGGGTCATACTGAGCAGGGCCTTATAAACTGAAATATGTGGTCCCAGGGTGTCACAATGGAGAAATCAAGAGATCATGATTGCAGAAGATGTCTTTGCAAACTGAAGGACATGATCCAGGGGAGGCTAACCAGGAATGCAGCAGGCATGCTCAGGAAAAGTGAGAGGTGGTTAGGTCACACAGCAAGGGAAAGGACAGCGCCCTTCACTCCTGCTTCTTGTGGCTCTCCAGGTGAGACAAGACCCACCCTGATGTCAGGAGGTGAGCCCAATGGCCATATCCATGGTCCCATGCTGCTCCCGCAGAGGCTTGGAATGGATCTAGGCGTGCTGCACCAGGAGCTGCTGGGCCGAGCCAGTCAGGCCCCTTAGCAGCAGCAATGTCAGCGCAGACAGTATTTATCCAACTCACAGACTTTCTCCCCACTGTGTACTGGTTTTAGCCAAGCATATCTGTGTACCTCTCATAATCTAGGACCACTGATTGGATCAGAGATATGCAAGAAGAAGGATAGCATGGAACCAAAGGGAAGGAAAACAAAAAAAGGAAGAAACTGTGCAGGATCAAAGAATCAGTAGTCATGAAATAAGCTTTCTTGGAATGGTAACTGGCTCTGAAAATAATTCCAAAAATGTTTTAAGGAAGATGCTTTCTTTGAAGGACAAGACTAATTTAAGTATATTAATTATGACGTATGTGAGAAAAATAGTAGTACAAAAACACTTTCAATTTTCTTAGAGCTAAAGAGTAGGAAAAAATAATGAAACAATCAGAGGAAAAAAGTAGTGTTCTGTTAGTAATTCCAATTCATTAATCTGACATTGTTGGGGAGCACTTTGTGTGGTATCAGGAACTGTAGCCCTGCGCGAGCCAAGCCTTGAAAAAGGGACTGTAAGTCTCGACCAGAAAACTGGGAAAGCTGGTGCAGACATGACCTGATGCTAGCACCAAGGGTTCCTGGGGAAAATCTGGCCAAAAGAATGCACTATATCCACTGAAGCTTGCTCTGCTTCACATTGGCCTGATAAGGAAAATCCAGGTGTTTGACTTCACAGCAAGGAGAAACAACCTGAGCCTCTTCTGCTGCCCCCATGTCTGACAGACCCTAGTATAAATATCTATAGCCTTTTGATATGGATTGATAAGCTTTGCATGCATGCTGTATACCCCTGCATATATCATTCTCAATAAAAGCCATTTCAGAGAAAGGCTTGGGGCATTCTCCACTAGAAGGAATTGCCACCCCTTTCTCCTGGCAGACAAATTGTGTCTGGAACGACTCATTTCTTCATCCACGGTAGCCAGGAGGACTCTGCGGGACAGGGCCTCCTCATGACATGATGGACATTATATTAAATCAAGATAGGCACACGGTTAGTCTGCAAAGACAAGGCTGTGTGCTTTGAGGTTAGCCATCATATTAATTAAAACTTTGAAGGGTTTGTTTTACCATTGGGAAATGAGATCAAAGGATAGAAAATGAAGCAAAAAATATTAAGGTACAAAATGAGGCTGATTCTGTTGCTGAAATATTCCCACAAAAGCAAAAATGACTTATTGCTTGCTTTTAAATTCAGAAATACCAACAGCTTGATTTCCCAGACCTATGTTTACTACAAAGGGAAATTTACATGACATCTGTGAATCAATGCCTTTTCAAAACAGAACAAAACAAAGTAAAAAATAAACAGATGTTTATTGTCTAAAGGTTTCCTTAAAAGATGCTGGGTACAATCTAAGAAACATTTGTGAGTTGTTTCTATAAAAATACATTTTGTTGTAGTGAAAATAAGGCAGACATCAAAAAAAGGTAAAACGGGATTTTAATAAAGTAACCATGATACTGCAGCACCAAGCAGAATTTTCTGAAGTCAATTTTGCCTTATTTAATAGGTTTTAGAAAGCTTAATACTGCACTATATAATAGCGAACTCACTTAGAATTGATGAAAAGTGGTGTTTATAGTTCTTTTTAGAAAAATCTGGCCTTTAAGACTTGAATAAGGATTTGAATTTTTTACTGTTGGAATCAACACTTTTTACATAAATTATGACTTGGTGTAACATAAAATTGCATTTCATTAATTTATAATAGGGAAATAATCTTATTGCATTATTTTAGGAATGCTTTCCACAAGTAAATTTGTTTTGCTTCCGAATGGTTCCACTGGTTATTTTTATTAAAAAGCAGTATTAGCAAAATATCGAGCTTACTATGAACTGAACACTCTCAAGTATGAGACCTAAGTGCTAAATTTTACACTTAAGAAAAAAAATACCCAAAATAATTTTGTATCTTTCACTTTTCCATTTGTTCTTTTTATTTAATGGGAAAAGCACTCTCTCTGAATGGCAAGGGTTCAGCAGTGGACTCTCAAAGAAGCATTACCAGTGACATCACAAAATTAAAGATTTTAAATATTATATATAGCCATCAGTCTACATCAATTATTTTCCTCTGCTTCCTACATAACCATTATTTAAAAGAAAATGAAATAAATTTAAAAAAAAAACAGGCTTACAAGAATAATTTAACTGAAAAGAAAATGGAAATATAGAGACTTAGTCCTGACCAGTGTGGCTTAGTTGGTTCGAGCATTGTACTGTAAACGGAAATGTCCAGGGTTTGATTCCAGTCAGGGCACGTGCCTAGGTTGCAGGTTTGGTTCTGGTCAGGGTGCATAAGAGAGGCAACCAACAGATGTTTCTCTTACATTGATGTTTCTCTCCCTCTTTTTCTCCCTTCCTTTCCCTTCCTCTAAAATCAATAAGCATATCCTCTGGTGAGGATAAATAAAAAAGAAATATAGAGACTTATAAATACCTGCCTTAGGTTATAAAGTAAAATTAATGGTAATGAATGAATGAAAATTCACATTCCCAGAACACTTTTCTCCTTGAATCATAGAAAGAAGGTCCAATGGTATAAATCTACTATGGAGGGAAACTGTCAGAACAAACAAATCTAAAAGATAATAAAATACTTTTGAAATAATCGCTTTGTAGAATATTGTTATTTTTCATCATTTTCTGCATATAAATTAAGTGAATGCTCTTTTCGATGCTGAAAAATAATATACCATCCCTTGGGAATATCAACACTTACACAAATTTTTAAAAAGAAAATTTAAATACCTGTTTTAGTTTTTCATTCTCTTTCATGAACTTTTTGGCAGCCTCGTTAGTATCTTCTGCTTGAGTTTTAAGTACTACTTTGTTTGACAGTTCTTTTGCCAACTGAGTAATAAGGGTAACCAGACGTCTCAACACTCTAAGGAAAAAAAAAAACCACTTTAAAATAAATAGTCATTGTTAAACAACATTCGTTGTGTGGTGGATAGAGATGATGGTTCGGGAGGACACATTTTTAAAAAAAGATCCAAGTCTTTCAGTCGAAACACACCTGTGACTCATTTGTTTAGAATCTTTGTTAGACTTTGTCAAGATGGCAGCATAGGTAAACACAGCTCACCTCCTCACACAACCACATCAAAATTACAACTACATTATAGAACCACCACCACTCAGGAGCATCAGAAATAAAGTTGAATGGAAGTCTGATAACTATGGAATTAAAGAAACCATCTTCATCTAGACTGGTGGGAGGGGCAGAGATGCGAAATGGGCTGGTCCTACATCTACATGTGGTGGCTAAAAATTCAGGAGAGATATCTTAGGGGCAAGGAGTCCCAGCCCCACACCAGGTCCCCCAGCCCAGGGTTCCAGTACCAGGAAGATAAGTCCCCATTACTTCTGGCTGCAAAAACCATGGGGGATTGAGTTGGTGGAAGAAGCTTCTGGAGACCCAAGCAGTTCCTCTTAAAGAACCCAAACAGAGTTATATTCACTGCCTCTGACCTCCAGCACCAGGATAGCAGCTAGAAAGGCACCAGTGGCATAGAGAGAGGAACTGTAGTGTCTGGCATCATGACGAAAGCTGGGGGACAGCTATCTCCCAGACAGAATCGCGGGCAGAGGCCATTCCCTTTTTCCAAACCCTTCCCCGACAGAGCCATGGAGTTACTAAATGGGTGCCATATCTGAGACTCTGTCAACCTGCCTAATACTGTTTGCCCCACCCAGGGGATGCCCTGAGTTTCGTCTGACCCAACTTATAGCTGTTAACAGTGGCTTTTCCATATGAATGACTGATCCTGACTATGCTTTGCAACTTCCTAAATCCTCTCAAACAAGCAACAGCTGGCCTCGGTCAGGCCCCAAACCCTGTACCTCTTGCTGAGTGGTCCCAGGCCAAGCACTAGCAGCAGCCAGCCTAGATTTATAGCTTGGGTTTGCCTGGGAATCTCTAAGCCCAGCACAAGTACCAGCTACCTTTTGTTTTATAGCTCAGGCAGGGTATCCCCAGGCAAAACAAGGTGGTGGCTGACCCACCTGCACCACCCAGGAAATTTTAGGGCCTGTGCACCCAAGGGACAGCTACAGACCATGCTGGAGCATCATCACCCTGCCCCTGCACAGCTGATCCACAATGGAGAGCAGAGGTTGGTGGTCAGTGGTGACAGCCAGTCTTTGCAGCTGATGGGCCTAGGAAAATCCCTCCCATTCATCTGCCAACAGCAATGAAGGCTCAACTACAAGGGAAGGGTGCACTCAACCCACATGAATGGCACACTCTGAGCACCAAGCTTGGGAGAGAGGGGAAACAATGCCACTGGATGCTACAGGACACCTACTACATTAGGCCACACTACCAAGAAAGGGAGTCATAACAGTTCTACCTATTTCATAGAAATAAACACAGGGAGGCTGCCAAAATGAGGAGACAAAGAAACATGGCCCAAATGAAAGAACAGATCAAAACTCCAGAAAAAGAACTAAACAAAAGAGAGATAAGCAATCTATCAGATGCAGAGTTCAAAACACTGGTTATAAGGATGCTCAAGGAACTAAGTGAGGACCTCAACAGCATAAAAAAGATCCAGTCAGAAATGAATGATACACCAATTTAAATAAAGAACAATTTACAGAGAAACAATAGTAGAGTGAATGAAGCCGAGAATCAAATCAATGATTTGGAACATAAGGAAGAAAAATACAAACAATCAGAACAAGAATAAGAAAAAAGAATACAAAAAGTTGAGGATAGTGTAAGCAGCCTCTGGGATAACTTCAAGCTTTCCAACATTCGCATCACAGGGATGCCAGAGGAGAAGAGAAAGTGCAAGAAATTGGAAATCTATTTGAAAAATGAAAGAAAACTTCCCTAACTTTGTGAAGGAAATAGGCATGCAAGTCCAGGAAGCACAGAGAATCCCAATCAAGATGGATGCAAGATGCATACTTCAAGGCACATCATAATTAAATTGCCAAAGGTTAAAGATAAAGAGATAATCTTAAAAGCAGAAAGAGAAAAGCAGTTTGTTACTTACAGGGGAGTTTCCATATCACTGTCAGCTGATTTCTCAAAAAAAACTTTGCAGGCTAGAAGGGACTGGCAAGAAATATTCAAAGTCATGAGAAGCAAGGACCTACAGCCAAGATTGCTCTACCCAGCAAAGATATTGTTTAGAATCTAAGGGTAGATAAACAGCTTCCCAGAAATGAAAAAAACTAAAGGAGCTCATCATCACCAAACCATTATCATATGAAATGTTAATGGGACTTATTTAAGAAAAAGAAGTGGGGAAGGCGGCAGGGAAAAGTGGTGGGGGGAACACAGAGACAAATGTATTTGGAAAAATAAATTAATTTTAAAAAATTTAAAAAATTAAAAAAAGAAAATTAAAAAAAATAAGATCAAAACTATGAACAATAAAATGGCAATAAATACATATCAACAATTCAATTTAAAAACCAAACTAAGCAAACAAGAAGTACAGAGACAGAATCATGGATACACAAAACATTTTGATGGTTGCCAGATGGGAGGGGGTTGTAGAATGGGTAAAGAGGTGAAGGGATTAAGAAGTACAAATAGGTAGTTACAGAATAGCCAAGTTGATGTAAAGTACAGTGTAGGAAATGGAGTAGCCAAAGAACTTATAAGCATGAGCCACGGACATGAACAATGGTGTGGGGATTGCCTGAGGGAGTAGGGGGGTGCTAGGTGGCAGGGGGAAAAGGGCGAAAATTGGGACAACTGTATTAACATAATAATATACATAATAGTAAAAAAAATTAAAATTAAAAAAACCTTTTTTACACAGAAAAAAAATAATTAAATACCACTGAACTTGTATTTCAACTGCTAGTCTTCTAACAAAGATTCTTTTTTAAAATTATATTTTATTTATTATGCTATTACAGTTGTCCCATTTTTACTCTCCTCTTTATTCCCCTCTGCCTTGTGCCCCCACCCTTAGTTCATGTCCATGGATCATACATATAAGTTCTTTGGCTTCTCCATTTCATGTACTATTCTTAACCTTTCCCTGTCTATTTTGTACCTACAATTTATCCTTCTTATTCCCTGTACCTTTTCCCCAATTCTCCCTATTCCTACTCCCCTCTGATAACCCTTCATGTGATCTCCCTGTCTGTGATTCTGTGCCTGTTCTAGTTGTTTCCTTAGTTTGTTTTTGTTTTAGGTTCAGTTGTTGATAGTTGTGTTTGTTGTCATTTTATTGTTCATAGTTGTTAATCTTCTTTTTCTTAGAGTCCCTTTAACATTTCATATAATAAGGGCTTTACCTTATCTGGGAAGCACTTTATCTGCCCTTCTAAATGATAGCTAAGCTGGATAGAGTAATTAATCTTGGATGCAGGTCCTTGTCTTTCATGACTTTGAATACTTCTTTCCATCCCCTTCTTGCCTGCAAGGTTTCTTTTGAGAAATCAGCTGATGGTCTGATGGGAACTCCTTTGTAGGTAACTCCTTCTCTCTTGCTTTTAAGATTCTCTCCTTATCTTTTAATCTTGAGTAATATAATTATGATGTGCCTTGGTGGGTGCTTCCTTGGGTCCAACTTCTTTGGGACTCTCTGAGGTCCTGGATCTCCTGGAATTCTATTTCCTCATCCAAATTGGGGGAGTTCTCCTTCATGATTTTTTCAAGTAAGTTTTCAATTTCTTGCTCTTCCTCTTCTCCCATGGCACTCCCATGATTCGGATGTTGGAACATTTAAAGTTGTCCCAGAAGTTTTTAAGCCGCTCCTCATTGTTTTGAATTCTTGTTTATTCATTCTGTCCTCGTTAAATGTTTATCTCTTCCTTCTGCTCCAAATTGTTGATTTGAGTCCCAGTTTCTTTCCCTTTATTGTTGGTTCCCTATATATTTTTCTTTATTTCACTTTGCATAGCCTTCACTTTTTCCTCCATTTTGCGACCATGATCAACCATTTCTGTGAGCATCCTATTACCAGTGTTTTGAACTGTGCACCTGATAGGTTGGCTACCTGTTCATTGCTTAGTTCTATTTTTGGAACTTTGATCTGTTTTTTCATTTGGGCCATATTTCTTTGTCTTGGTGCACCTGTTACATTTAAGGGGCAGAGGCTTAGTTATTTGCCAGGGCGGGGCAACCCACTTCTCTGAGTTGTGGCACTGTACATGGGGGAGGGGTCCAAGAGGGAACAATGGTGCTTACTTGGCTCTCAGCAAGGTTTCAGTCCCTTCCCTCACTACCCACAAGCAAATTGGGCCCCTCTGTGCTGATCCCCAGGTGGGTGGGTCTGTGTACATTCTAGGACCCTGTGGGTCTCTCCAATAATCTCTCCTTGAGGCTGGGAGTTTCTCCCACTGCTGCACTGCCCACAGATTTTTACAGCCAGAGATCTTGAGGCTTTCTTTTCCCACACTGGAATCCTGGATTATGCAGTCTGTCTTGCTCTCCAGTTGTTTCTCCTGGTTATCCACACGCAAATGTGGTACTGCTTGGTCCACCAGCTGCTGCCTCGTTGAGTGTCCTCTCTGCTCCTGTTGCCTGTTTCCACCCCTCCTACCAGACTGGATGAATGTTTCTTCTTTAACTGCTTGGTTGTCAGAATTCTATACAGTTCAATTTTCTGGCAGTCTGGTTTTTAAAATTTTTTGTTTTCCTTCTTTTGGTTGTGTTAGAAGGCAAAGTGTATCTACCTATGCTTCCATGTTGACTGGAAGTCTTTGTTATATTAATTTAATTATTGTCATTGTAGCTGCCTCCAGACAAGGGGAGCAGAAAAAGAATTTCAGACAGTGTGGCAGGGCCAATAAGAGAAGGCTTTTTCTAACTCAGGTCAAATTTTGCTATTTAAAGAGCATTGTATGAGGCTAGTCAAGCCCACAAACTGATCATACACATTGTTTATGGGCAACTTCCATTGTTAGAAGTAGTACTTAGTATCATCAATTACTCATTCAACAGACATTTCTTCAGGAGCTGCTAAGTGTTAAGTATTGTTTTAGGCACTGGGGACACAGCAAGAAAGAAGACAAAGTCTCCATTCTCAAAGAGTTTAGGTTCTAGTTCGAGAGGCAAGAATTAAAACAGTATTTAATTATAATTATGAATGATACTCAAAAGAAAGTACCATATTTTGTTGTGTATAATGTACACTTTTTTGCCCAAATTTTTGAGGGAAAGGTAAGGATGTGCATTATACATGGGTAGTACCTGAAATACCTTGTATTTGTTCTTGGGTTTTATAATTTTTTGTTACCTAGAATTTCTTGTGCCATAATATGTTAAAAAATAAATGCTAAAATTCCTTTATAATACAAAAAATAAGTATCTAAATATAAACAAATAAAGAATTGAAATAAAAAATTAAAACAAAAGATTTTTGTCCTGAAAGTTTGGCCCAAAAACATGGGTGTGCACTATACACAGGAGTGCATTATACATGACAAAATATGGCATGTATACATTCAATGGGAGAGTACAAGAGGAGTCATATGTACTTTGAGGGGAATGATTGTCACAGAAGGTTTGCCTGAGAAAGAGACTGAATGATTAAAAGTCAGCCAGAGAGGGAGAAAAGAGTGTTCCGGCAGAAGGAAATGCAGGTGCGAAGCTCCCAATAGGGACTCAATAAATATCTGTTGCAAGAATGAATGAATGCCTGGCTGGGTAGCTTAATTGGTTAGAGTATCATCCCAATATGCCAAGGTTGTGTGTCTGATACCCAGTCAGGGCACATACTAGAATCAATCAATGAATGATTAAGTAAGTGCAAGAAATTGATGTTTTTTCTCTCTCCCCTACTTCCCCTGTCTAAAATCAATAAATATCTTTTAAAAGAATGAATGAATGAATAGTGGAGTAGGAATGTGGTATGCATGTCAGAGAACAGAATGAAACAAGGCTCCAGATAGAAGCAGGGGCCAGATCATGCAGGGCTTATTAACCTTTCAAACCCACAATCCCTAACTATTGCTTGTTATTTGGGAAAATAGTCCGAGTTTTTCTATGAAGATTTTAGTATATTTAGTATTATAGAAAAATCTAAAGTGTAGGTTAAAAAAATGAGAAACAATCGTTTTCAAACCGACTGTGTGTTTTTTACTTACAGCCAAAAAAATAATGAAAATCCAGAAATGTAAAGGTTTCTTTGAGACCTAAAAAGTTTCATCTGTGTATGTTCATGGGCACCAGGTCTGCTGGGTAAGCTCTTTTCAATGGCAGTAACAGAAGAATATTTCCTTACTTCTCTCACAGCATCTATTAGAGAAAGGAGAAAACATTACCTTTAGCTTCTAAGAATATAAAATTATTATTAAAATGGAAAGCAGTTTTAGAATAACTGATCTAACTTTAAAATAAAGGACTTTAGATAGGGACTTTTCCTCTAAATACTTGGGAGGGTACCATGCTCAAAACAGATGATCTGTATACGTATACTACTGGTAAATTTTGAATGCAACAGCATTTTTGTTTTTACTATTCATCTAAGACTCACCCTCATTCACTATCTCATCTCTAGCTATACTGCAAACTATTATCCTTTATTCTTTCTATATCCCTAATAGGTTGACTAAGTTTTAATCTATTACCAATAACATACAGGCCATATCCCATACAATCAATTCTGTGAGACTATCCTATTTCTATTACTATACTAGCATTTTATTTTACCTGTCATTTTGTTGATGGTTTCCTTTGCTGTGCAGAGGCTTTTTAGTTTGATATAGTCCGACTTGTTGATTTTTGCTTTCATTGCCTTTGCTTTTGGTGTCAAATCCAAAACAATTATTGCCAAGATCCTTACCACCTATGTTTTCTTCCAGGAGTTTTGTGGCTTCAGGTCTTAGATTCAAGTCTTTCATCCATTTTGAGTAAATTTTTTAACTTTTATTTTTCAGTTAGAGTTTATATTCAATATTATTTTGTATTAGTTCCAGGTGTGCATTGATTTTTGTATTGTGTAAGACAGTAGTCAAGTTTTCCCAACATCATTTATTGAAGAGACTGGCCTTTCTCCATTGTATATTCTTGGCTCTTTTGTCAAAAATTAATTGAATATGTGTGGATTTATTTCTGGGCTCTCTATTCTGCTCTATTGATCTATGTGTGTTTTCATGCCAATACCATACTATTTATATATTTTTTAAGTTATATTTTATTATGTTATTACAGTTGTCCCAATTTTCTCCCCTTTTCCCCTTTCCACCCAGCATCCCCTATTCCCTTAGGCAATACTCACACCATTGTTTATGTCCATGGGTCATGCATATGTTCTTTGGCTACTCCATTTCCTACACTGTATTATACATCCCCACGGGTATTCTGTAACTACCTGTTTGTACTTATTAATCCCCTCCCCTCTTCACCCATTCCTCCAAATACCATACTGTTTTGATATAACTTTGTAATGTAGTTTGAAACCAGGAGCATGATGCCTCCAACTTTGTTCTTTCTCAAGATTGCTTTGGTTATTTGGGGTCTTTTGGAGTTTGATACAAATTTCAGGCTTGTTTGTTCTATTTCTGTAAAAAACGTCATTGGAATTTTGATAGGGATTATACTGAATCTGCGGGTTACCTTGGGTAGCATAAACATTTTAACAATATTAATTTTCCAATCTATGAGCATAGGATATTTTTCCCATTATGCAGTTTCTTTCATTAATGTCATAGAATTTTCAGTGTACAGGTTTTTCACCTTTTTGGATAAATTTATTCCTAGGTATTATATTCTTTTTGATACAATTATAAATGAGGTTTTCTTAATTTCTCTGATAGTTCATTATTAGCATATAGAAATGGAAGTTTCTGTATATTGATGTTGTATCCTCCAATTTTTCTGAATTCATTGATTAATTCTAATGTTTTTTCTATGAAGTCTTTAGGGTTTTTTATGTCAATATAGGTACAGATTTCTATTATTATGTCATCTGCAATAGTGACAGTTTTACTTCTTCCTTTCTAATTTGGGTGCCTTTCATTTCTTTTTTTAGCTTAACTGCTCTGGCTAGGACTTCTAATACTATGTTGAATAAAAATGGTAAGAACGTATATCCTTGTCCGGTCTCTGATCTTAGAGGAAAAGCTTTCAGCTTTTCATTGTTGAATATGATATTAATTGGGAGCTTGTCATATATGGCTTTTATCATGTTGAGGTACATTTCCTCTATATAAACTTTGTTTAGTTTTTATCATAAATGGATGTTGAATATTTTCAAATGCTTTTTCAGCATCTATTGAGATGATCCTATAATTTTTATGGCTAACCTTTAAAAAAAAAACATGAGTGAATATTCTTAAGGTAGAAAGAAAAATCACTGATTTTAACCCTTTATTTTTTTTCTAATAAACATTCAAGGTTATGAATCTCCTCTAAACAGCTCTTTATTGCTTGTTTATCTTACACATTTTTGTACCTTGTATTTTCATTATTATTCAGTTAAAAAATATTTTCTCTTTTGCCTTTGAGTACTTCTATGACCCATGCATTATCGACAAGTGTCTTATCTAATTTCTAAACATTTGGGGTTGTTTCAGATGTTATTGAATTCTCTTTTACATACTTTGCATGATTTCAATTCTTTTGTAATTTATTGAGACTTATTTTTATGGGCCAGAATATAGTGTATCTTGGTGAACAGAATATAGTGTCTATAGGTGTTTGGGGAGACTTGATTTTTTGACTTTTTAAGGTTAGTCTGCTTTTATTGTAATTTTAGTTAAACTCCCAATTCCTGGGACACAATAATTTCTCTATTCCTAAGAAGCAATATTCTGTGATTTTAGTAGAAAGGTTCAAGGTCTTTACCATGGCCCTCAAACCTGATTGGGCTTGAGACTCTAAACTGCTTCTTCTTGGTGGGCAGCATCTAAATCTGCTTAGTTCTTTTAGCTTTCTAGCTGCTACTTTCCACAGAACTCCTTTTAATCTCCCCTGTAGATCTAGGGTTCAAGATTCAACCAAGGATTTGAGGTGAATTTATATGCAGATTCTGGAGTTCACTTTCTGAGGCTTTCTCTTTCTTTGGATGTTTCCTTTTAATTTCCAGCCTCTCTGAACTTTGACACCTTTAAGTCAGTAAGACTGTGGCTTTCTGCTTTAAGGTCTATCTGACCATGCCACATGGGCTGAGAATTGTCCTTAGAGGAAAAGCTATGTAAATTTGATCACACTCATTGTGATTCCCTGTTTTCAAGGTTTGACTTCCCTCTAATTTCCATCTACTTTTGGTTGCTCTCCTAAGTCTTCGAACACTTTTTATTCTTATTTTGTCCAGGGTTCATAATTGTTATCATGGGAGGATTAATCTAACACAAGCTATCTTTTCATTTGTCTTTAAAAATTTTATTAGTTTAAAAATTTATCAAGGCGAAACCTTTCTATACCTCAGTGAAGTAAATGTTACTACCCCATTCTGAAATGTAAACACTGAGGCTTAAAAAGTTAAGTCCCTATCTGCCTGCCTTTACCCATCAACCATTAAAGTTCCTGCATTAACCATCCATGACTTCCCTGCGCTCTGGGAATTATGCCCTCCGCGCGCAGATTTAGTTTACAGCTGGCAGTCATGAACTCTGGCACAGCTTACTAAACAAGAGCTGCACAGCCGGTGCTAGATGGTCTGATTTTTTCCCTTAGAATGTGAATTGGGATTCACAATCAGCTAATTAATCCTTGCATATGGCTGGAGTGATTAGCATTTGATGGCTGTGTGGTGGCCATTTTCTGCTTTGGGAATGGAGTGAGAGTCCATGGAGATGAGGAAGAATGAAGTAGACCCAGGGAGAAATGCAGGGACACAAAAAGGGCACTTTGGTGACTATTAGTTTCTCCTGGAATTTGGTTTACTTCCTTCCCTGAGCTGTTCTGAAACAATCCCACATTTTATTATAAATTCCTCCTTCTTGCTCAAGTGAGTTCAAGTTTGTTTCTGATAGATGTAACCAAAAGAACCACAACTAAAGTTCTCCTTCCTTATATGGTTGGGGTATGTGGCAGTTTTTGGTAGAAATTCTTGTGATAATTTTAGAGTTAGATCTCAAAACACTTTAGAGCTAGTGAAAGCTGCAGAAATGATCTTCTCTCCTTTAACTTTGCCAATAGGTAAACCAAACTCAGAGGAAATGCCACTCCAAAACTCATTTTGTTAGCTGGTGGCAAAGTGGGACCTGCTTGCCTTATTCTTTACTCATTTAGTGTTATTACTTATATGGCTGGAGATTAAATCGATAACATTAACAATAATGTACCAGGAGACAAATATTGACATTTTTGGATGAGGCAGAAACCTATTCACACCCTGATACAATTACCTACTCACACCCTCTCACAGCAGTTGGTCCCAGTTTTATAAAGAGGATTCCATTTCAGAGGTTGGTGTTATGGAACATGGGAAACATTTTCTCACAAAATAGTGGCACACATGGTTCCAGGCTGGCCCTTGTAAAACTTAACCTACAACACAACAATGCTTAGGGAATTCTGAAGTAAAACATATTCTGCAATATGTGTTAAAAGCTGAAGTGCAAAGAAGTAGCTGGGTGATCAGGCAAGTTACTTAATTCTCTAAGCTCAGCTACTTCTTTTAAAAAACATAATTATTTAGACTCATGGAATTTCTGGTTTGACAGGAACCTTAAGGGTTTAATTCTAATAGCTAAGATACTCATTATCATAAAAATTTCAAACATGCTGAAAACTAGTATAATAAACACCCATATTTCCACTACCTAGATTCAATAATTGATAACTTTTCCCTGTATTTGCTTTATCTGTCTTCATTTTTTAACCATTTGAAAGTCAGTTAAAAATATCATGATACTTGTAATATGTTAGCATACAGCTCCTAAGAATAAGGACATATTCCTATATAACAGATGTTGGTAAACTTTCTCTGTAAGTGGGCAGATAGTGAACGCTCTTGGTCATATGGTGTGTCTGCTGCAACTACTCTACTCTGCAGTTGTCCGTGGAAACATGCATAGATGATACATAAACAAACAGGTGTGGTTTTGCATCACTAAAACTTTAATTTCCAAAATTGGCATTCGATTTGCAGGCTATAGGTTGCTGACTTATGCTATGTAACAACACTGTTATCACAACTAAGGTTAACAAAAATATCCCTAATATTATCTAACAATCAGTCCATATTCAATTTTTTTCAGTAGTCCCCAAACATTTGTGTTGTAGTTGTTTTTAAACCAGAATCTAATCAAGATTTACAACCTGTACCTAAGAGTCCTTTTGAGGGCCTTATGATCCTATTCCTTCTATGTCTCCCCAACAGCTAAGCTCCTGGTGCCTAGGACACCATGTTAACAAAGGATTGTATAACTGGTAACTCTGAAAAGTAGGCTATATGTTGGTTTATTTAAACCTTAAAACAACTTAAAAAAGGTTAAGTACAACTGTACTTTGTTGAAATTTATGCTTCTGAATATATAATAGTAATATCTATTAACTATTTATATACATATATCAATATCTGCTCTACACAGTATCCATATCCTATACAAAGTCAACTGCATATCAATAGCAACATTGACTTAATTAAAAACCGATGAATTCATTAATAAATAAAAACTAGACTAAGCTTATTCAAAGTAGGAATCTATTACTCTAGTACTTACCTAGAAACAGAACAATCAATAGGACTATAATAGTAAGAAAAGCCTTGTTCCAAAAAGTTGCAATTTTACCCCAGACATTAAATGAAAAAATCTTCTGCCACCTGTAAAGCAATACAATTAAATTAGGTATAAAAAGAATCAAAGTGTTTTGAAATACTTTCTGAATAGTGAATTGACATTTTGGTTATTGTGTAGTGAATGATAAGAATTATAGAAATTTAATTTTTTATGTCATATCATAAAGTTGTTAATTCATAAAAACAGTTTCATAAACTAAAGAACACTTCTCTCAAGTTTAATAATAATCTGACATTTGATTATCTTGTTTGGAAGCTTAAATATTCTACAGGGAAAGTAACTTAAAGGCAAGATACATGACCAAAATCTTAAAAAGGAATTCTTATAGTAAAATGTTATATTGCTGATAGAAGTCATCCCTTTATATCTTTTCCCTTATCAGGGTAATAACAGGGAAATAACAAATATTGGTCCAACAATTAGCAATGTTTCAGTAGTGGGTCCAACTCTTCTCAACTATTTACTTTTATGTAATACAATTTTAACATTTACTCCATGTAAAAGTGTTTCTCTACTTTTACCATGAATTTTAAAAATCACTGAGGGATTACATACACAAAGCAAAGTGCAAAAATCTTAAATAGATAATGATGAATATATAAATACATATACATGTATATAGCTATGTAGTTACCATGATCAAGATTTGAACATAGAGGAAATAAAAATGGAAAATAAATAGTCTATAAGGGATGAGTTAAAAGATATAAACAAAGACAGAGGTAAGAATGTATGGATTATAAATGGCAAATACTGATAAAGTAACTCATCACACAACTGAAAAGGTAACAAACTTTGCATAAGGGCATTTAAAATGCATTAGAACATTTACTGAGAAATAAGCACTTAAATAAGCTTCAAACAGAACTTCAAAAAATTTTTTACTTTAAGATTATGACAAATTATTAGCTAATAAGTGTTGAAAACAACTCTAAATAATAACTGGAATTTCATGTGGAGAGGAAGATTGATATGAGATAAAGTAGTTTCTTTCGTCTCTATGCTTCCAATTCCAAGGACACTATTTAGATTTTACATTATAAAAACTTTATATTTTTTGAAAGAGAACCTAGTGACACTACCTTGATCAAGGTCCAAATGTAAATTACATTCAAGGGCCAGTGTTAAAGGAAACACAAAAGAGACCCCCTACAGAGTACAAGTAGTTTATATTAACACTAAATTTAAGGAAGGAATAATAGCTACCATATATTGAGTCCTTACTATACTATCGTTCTAAGCACTTCTATGTTTTAGCTAATTTAATCACCAAAACCACAGTGAAGGTGGATACTAGTATTACCTCCATTTTACAAATGGGGAAACTGACTAGAGATAGTAAATAACTTGCAGACAGTCTCACAGTAAAATGCAGAGTTAGGATATAAACCCAGGTAGTCTGACCTTTGACCTCTGAGCATGTGCCTAGCCAGGGGGCTATGTGAAAAAAGAATAGACAAATAAAAAAGACTGAAGGCTCTTCTTTAAAGATTATGATGATACACATATAAAGATAAAAAGATGGAGATACACACAGTACATTTTAAATAATATATAAACCATATTTTCTCATGTATATGAGGATATGTTTATATAATATGAATATAGACACATTTATCCAATAGCTACTTGACCAGGGTAGGGAAAATATTATTTGGCAGGAAGAAAAATAATTTATAGATTATTTTGATAAAGAAAAATAATTTATGGGTCATTTTGATGGAGAAAAGGTAAAGAGACAAAAAAATTTTTTTGCAAGTGTTACCAAAAAGCTAAACAGGGTGTTAATGAGGATTAGAAAACAAATCAAGGTGCTGAGAGGTAAGTAGGGTGATGGAGTAGAAAGAACACTAATCTGAAAGCAACATTCATTTCTGGAATCTGCCATGAATCAGCTACATGACCTTAGACCACTTTCCCTATAGAATGAGTGGGTTGGATACAATTATCTCTAAGCCCCTTTCCTACAGTATGATTCTTTTTTTTTTTTTTTTTTTTTTTGTCTTTAGCAAGGAAGAAAAAAAATGATGGTATCACTGACAAAGACAGGAATAGAAATCCAGCTAGGTAAGAAGCAAGTTGAGAGTTGTGAAAGACTCCCTGAACCTTGAGCCAAGGTAAAAACTTTTGTGTCTCTTTTATTTATGGGCTCCTACTAAACTTCAGTGGGTTATCTCTAAGATTTCATTTACGCAAGATTTTCTTTCATGCCATGAGTATGAACAAAAGTCATGTAACATTTTTATTATAAGTGTATTTCACCATTCATACCAAGATTTTCTAGACCTAAAACTGAACTCCCAATAAGTGGATTATCACAGGGGTAAAGTGAGCCACTGTTTCAATTAAAATACTTAATACTTAAGGACCTAAGGAACTAATAATAATGTATGGTTCTGATACATTTCATAATCAGCACTTTTAACATATATTCATTAATTCTGTATGTGGGGGAAGAGTAGTAAAAATAACATTAAACATTAATGAAACTATTTCTTGTTTAGATTGGCCAAAACTAAGAATCATTTATTGGCTTAAGTTTCTAAATTGTCATTTCACTTCCCCAGTGAAACATTTCTGCACCCATGCTGTCCTGTAAACATCATTTATCCACCCACTTTCACTTAGTTCACTGTTCCAATTCAGGGCAATAAAACAAAGGTAAAACGAAGGTAAAACGTGATGACAAAGCAGGCGTTAAAAGCATAACCTTTTACCTGCAATTAACAGAAACAAAGGACTCGCTCTTTTGATTTTAGAAAGGAGGGGGAAAGTTAATTTATTTGTAAATTTAACAAAAAAGTTTTATAAAAAGCGATATTTTAATATCGTCATTATATATTACCTAAATTTGTTAGTGACTTTATTTTTTAATAACTTGCAGACAGTCTCACAGTAAAATGCAGAGTTAGGATATAAACCCAGGTAGTCTGACCTTTGACCTCTGAGCATGTGCCTAGCCAGGGGGCTATGTGAAAAAAGAATAGACAAATAGAAAAGACTGAAGGCTCTTCTTTAAAGATTATGATGATACACATATAAAAGATAAAAAGATGGAGATACACACAGTACATTTTAAATAATATATATAAACCATATTTTCTCATGTATATGAGGATATGTTTATATAATATCCTCATATAAGTGCACCTTTTATATAATCAGCACTCAAAACTTTCAAACTTTAAGAAAACTTTTTCCGTATCACACTAAACAACCTAAAGGTGCTGTTGGTCCTATATTTATTATTGTAACAATTTGGAGTTTTCCTACCTCTGAGGAGTAATAAAAGGTAGACAGAAGATTAAAATGAGTCCTATTTCAGCATAGAGAAAGGTTGCAACTGCCGCCCATTGGAGTGTCATTTTTTTCTCTTCACACCTAAATAGAGAAACACTTGTTTTACTTTGTTGCCGTTCAAACAAAATTGGTTATGACTCCCGGGACGCCATTGTTTTTATCAGGGGTTTAGAGTCCGACCTTCCTCTAACTGAAGGCGCGCGGCCCGGAAGGGCAGGAAAGCGAGGACAGAAGAGGGAAAGGGAAGGGGTTACGGGCGGGTCGGGAGGCTGGCGTCTCCACCTCCCCGGCGAGGCCGGAGCAGCGTGCTAGGCGGCCTGCAACGACACGGTGTTTTTCCGCCAGCTTCGCTGCGACTTTCGCGTAACGCCAGCCTCCACTATCGTCCGCGCCTGAGACCCTGGCGCTCAGCGAACGCCTTGCCCTTGATCGATGGGTCGAGAGTAGGCCCAACCGCGGAGAGCGCCGCCACCCCGCGGCCCCCAGCCGCCTGGAGGACTGCGGCCCCCGGGGACAGCGCCCGGCCTTACCCCGCCTGCGGCCGACCTGGCTCCCCGCGCTGCTCGGTGGCCGCCGAAGCGCGAGACGTCAGACGCCTCGGCGGGGCAGGAGGGAAGCGTGCCCCACCCCCACCCGCAGCCGAGCCGGCTTCCTCCTCAGGCCCAAGGTGCTGGTCCCCGCCGAGGTCGCGGGCTGCGCGAATAGGATTAGCAATAATTGCTTTCTAATTGGTGGAAGATGCGTAGGGCTCGCAAGTGCAACTTCATGAGAGCCGACTTCAAATTTCTAATACTGTGTGGTTTGGGTAGGAGGCGTGGTTAATAGACCTTTTCTGATAAAGCAGCGTGGGGTCCACGGACAACCAGTTAGGCAGGGACAAGAGGTCTGGATAAGGTAAATTCCGGGAACATTTTTGAAACGCACTCCTTTCCTATTTCGGTCTAGGTTAATGATAGGACTGGTTTCACTGTCCGGAAATAATCTATAGTTAAAAAGAAGGGCCAGGATTGGGTAGTTGTGCAGCATTTTGTTCTTCTGAAGACTGTAGAACATGTACAGTGAAAACATACTGGTTTTTGTTTTTTATTTTTTGCACTCTTCGATGGGCTGGAAAGAGGCCATAAACTTAAGGGTGATATTTGGGGACTGATAGGAAAGGGAAACTGTGGATATGGGTATTTTCTTTCAATGACTATTTTCCAGGTTTTCAAATTGTGTGAATACATTCAAATTATTAAATGTGTATTATTTCAACCTTGACATTAAGAATGCAAACGAATGTATGTTCCTGGAAACAATTATTTTGGGAACACTAAACAAAAGATGAAAAAGACATAATTATACAATATCAAAACATTTTAAGTCAGTGCTTTTTCTTATCTTAAATATACTTGATCATATAAAAAAAAGAGAACATATATTAATAATAAGGAAGTTTTTTTTTTTAAAAATCAAACACGTTTAGAACTCCTTGCCCTTCCACACTGGTACCTTTGGAAGGCTGTTCACCTTAATCGAATTGTTTTTTTGTCACAACATTAGTATAATTTATCTCAGAGTTAACTTACAAAGATGACTAAGTTTTGCTGATGGCTCCCTATATGCTTGTATACTTGTGGAGAGCAGGAAAAATAAAATGGCATTGGTCCAATCAAGATAATATAAAGTATATAAAACAAAGTGGAGTCATTCATGTCAACCAAAATGGCTGTTAGTCAGCCATGACATTTTGGTTCAAGAGGGAAACTACCTAAGTCAGAGCAGACACATCTGGGAAGGAGACACACCTAAGATATCTGCCCATGTATTCAAAATAGCCATGTCTGGAGAGCGGGACCTGGGAAATTCCACACTTGCCAGCAGGGGGTGTCAAGCAGAACAGCCATGTACCACCAACAGGCTCCTGGTCAAATTCTCCACTTAGAACCAGGGGTGGCGGGGTTGCCAAGACATTTCTGAAGATTCAGAAAGGTGGAATACACCACTGAGGCAGGTTCCAGACCACTGGAGACAGCCGAGATCCACACACCAGAGTGCTGTTCCATGGCATGCTGGTCTCCCTTGGCATCAGCCACTAGAAGCTCTGTCCTGCTGGACTGAGGACTTTGTCTGCCCTGGTGCCCACCTGGCTCTGGAGATCAAGATCATTCCTTACAAGAGGATGACAACTCCCTTGCCCACCATGCTGTCTTCCAGACCTGCAGACTGACTCTGGGACTCAGGTTCATTTTCCTCCATTGATTGGGGGTTGGGGGCGGGGGGTGTCGTGTGTGTGCGCATGTGTGATATTTCTCTTAGATTGTTAGAGTGTGAGTAGGATATTCATGTATGTGGATGTTCTACTTTGAGTGAACCTGCATTCAATAAAAGCTGAGTAAACAGCATAGTTACTGTGTGTGACTTGTGTCTATTCCTTGGTGCTGGTCTGCTCAGCAGGCAGCTAGCAGAGCAGTTGCTCTGCTGACTTACAGAAAATACTCTTATCATGAATATATGCTTGTGACAATGCTACTCCCAGCAAATGAAAAAGCCAGTTATCTTTAAAAATACAGTAATTGAGCCCTGGCCCCATGTGGCTCAGTTGGTTGGACTGTCTCGGATTCCATTCCCGAATCAGTAAGTATATTCTTGGATGAGGATTTAAAAAAAAAATACAGTAAACTGAAAAATGAAAGGAGAATGCACCTAAGAAAAAAATGACAACACAGTGCTTATGTTAAAATTGATTCATGTAATATTCCCAAACTCTTGAATTAAGAAGTTTTAGATACTGCCTCCTTTTTAACAGTTTTCATGTTAGTAATGTACACCAATACCTTGATTATGGAACTTTTATTTTACCTGAGATATTCTTGCAGTATCACATTCACCAATAACAAAATTCTATCAGTAACATTCCCAAAACATGGAACTTTAAAGTTAAAATTATTATCAACTGCTGGGAGGCATAAAAATAACATCACTAAAAACAGGGTCTGAACATTATAAATTAAAAATAAAACCTGGTTACTATTCTTTGGAATATTTCAAATATATAATCATTTTCACATATTTTATACTTAAAATGTGGGGGAGTGCAATTAATACTATTTTAGGTAGTTATATTTTATTAGTCTTTCAATATTCTGAATACCTAGACCAATCATTTTCAACCTTTTGTCATTTCATATCATATATTCTGTGGCACACCAAAAACAATTTTGCTGACCTGACAAAAAAAATAGGTATAATTTCATTCACACCAGACAGCTATTGTCTATTGGTTTTTTTTTTTTTTTTGACAATCTAATGGAAAAGAGGTGTCCCTGACTAAACAGTCAGGTATTGCATATTTTAAAAATACTTGCAGCACACCAGTGTGAAGTGGCACACTGGCTGAAAACTGCTGATATGGAACGCTTGAAATATAACAAGTTTAAGGTCATTTAAAGTTTCATGGAAACTTAGTCTTAGAGAAAACATATCTAATTAAATTCAGTTACATACAATTTAAAACAAGTACTTCGGGGTGTGTAATTCATGAATTAGGAAGTACCAGTGTGATTTTCTCATTTGAACTTTTAACGTAAGCCCTGAATGCAACTTTATACAGAATGTCTTGTTTTTTTCGTTTTACAGAGGTTGGCATTGTTCTGTCACTTTTCTGCACTTTTTTTCATTAATAACTTACTTATACAGAGATCTGATTAAGATAATGCAGATCACAACGGAGAAGCGGAAGGGAATGGAGGAGTTTCCTGAGACAATTGTGGGCAGTCCAGGATGGGATTGGCTGAGAAGCTAAATGCCTCAAGAGCCAATGGAAATAAAAAGAGAGCTGGTTCTCAGGCTCAGGCTCTGAGGTTCTTCCTCGAGGACTTCTGGGTAATTGTGCTGCAGCTGCCTGCATTTCCCAAAGGAAGGTATTTTGTGTAGGAAGAAACCTCCAGGCACAGCCTAGGATCAGGCTGGCCTGGCAGAGGCTGGCAGGGTTATTCTTCAGGTATTCTAGAGGGAGCAGGCTCTGAGGTAGAAGTCCTTTCCTGTATCACCAAACTTTTGCCTCTGGAGCTTCTGCCTAGAGGGCAGTGGCAGGCAGCAGAACCCCAAGTACTGTTTGATAACAATACTTCATGTTAACTTACAAATACTGTATGAGTCATATTTTTAGTATTAAAATAATAAGTTTTATTGAAAAATGTTAAACACACTTCCTTTAAGTATATATTAAAATAATTTACGAAGCCCAGTCAAATCCCATAATGGTCTGTAAGGTAATCTAAGACTGCTGTTGTGCTTGACAAAGCATTAAATACTCTTTTTTCTTGTCTTGAAGTTATCTTTTCCATCATGTACATTAAATGCTGATGGAAACACATATAAGGAGTTCCAAGTTCAAGAGCAAGGTCAACCCAGTCCCAGATGCATTTCAGAGGAGTTTCCTCATATCCAGCAAACATGGCTGGGTTTGCTAAGAGTCCTCTTGCAACCATCACACCTACAAATTAAAGCATATCACATTTGTCCACACATTAAGAACTCATAGTTATAAGGTCAAACTCAAACAAACTGAGAATATTAAAAAAATAAAGTAGTATTACAAGGTTTCACAATGCCCTTATATTAGTCTAATTCAATTATAATACAATTTATTTTGATAATCCTTTTTATAAAACAAGATATTTTAAAGGTTCTTACAGGTATTCATTATTTTTTTAAGACTTCTACATTACACAATGAATCTTTAAACTTTTTGTTAAGGATAAATCCAAACTGTCATAAATTGGGCTTGTCTGAAGTTAAGTGTATCTGTATTCTCCCACCTAGCAATAGGTATCACAGGGCTTGGAATGCCAGCAATTTAAGAGGATAATGAACCTGCATAGCGGTCTGGGATTCTTTTGGTTCCTATGACTACTCTCGTGCTCACTAACTCTAAATTCTAGTCTAGGTGTTCTATTTTACTAATAGGGTACCTGAAAGATTCTTACCTGGTCATTCACTAGATATGATGGTGGCAATAAAGTAATTGAATTTACTCCGATTAAAACAGCCTATTGTTTCCACCCTGGCCAGTATGGCTTGGTTGGGCATCATCCCCCACACAGAAGAGTCAGGGCTTTGATTCCAGGTCAAGGCACATGCGTAGTTTGAGGGTTCAGCCCCAGTTGAGGTGTGTACGAAAGGCAACCAGTCGATATTTCTCTCCCTTTCTCCCTCAGTTCCCTTTTCTCTAAAGTCAATAAGCATGACCTCAGGTGAGGATTTAAAAAAGTAATAATAATAGAATAATCTACTGTTTCTAAGTAGAAGAGTTTTAACACCATTTTAATAAATTTCTTAGATTAAACCAGTACAACAGAAAAATATAGTTCTAATTTAAAGAAAAATGAAAACATTAACATTATCCTCCTATCCTAACTTTTTTTGCCTGTTAAAAGACAAAAATTCAAGTACTTATTTCTTACCATCTGTCCCAGTAATATGCCATACATTTTCTGCTTCTTTTAAGCTTCTGATGTCTCCATTAGCAATAACGGGTATAGACATATTTTCCTTAATTATTTTAATGGCTTCATAGTGTACTGGGTGATGTCTTTCTTCAACAGTTCTCCCATGGACTGTAATCCAGGAAACACCTGTTGCTTCAGCCTTTCGACAAAGATCTACAGTTCTTGTAAGATCATCATGGATCCTATAATTTCAAAATTATACTCAGCTTTTTATAGCACACAAATCAAAGCTAAAATTAGTAAGCAATATTTCATATAAAACATTAGTTAGTTTTGCTGTATCATACTATCACTACATGCATTAATTGTGTACAAAGAAAAAGTTGAGCGTTTCTTTTGGAGGAAAGTTTTTAATGATAAAGGCATATTTTAATTTCTGTTAAAAAATACAAAGAGGAAGTTGTTCTGGATTATAAATAAAAGTTATGGTATATATCCATTTACTGAGTATCTTATTTCTACATTTCCATATACCAGCTACAAATTAAGAATAGATATGCTTGCAACACCAGATAGAAGGAATACTCTTTTATTTCCTAAGAACTACCTGTCAATAGATTAAAATGTTGTCTTTACCTTATTTTAATAGATACTGAAAATCTGGGATTTTCCACTTGATTTCTTACTTGTTTCACCATATCTTGAACAAGCTCTGGATTGTTTATTAAACAAGCTCCATAACCGTCTGCCATTGCCCACCTTTATAAAGCCAACACAACAAATAAACTGTAAAAAGCTGAAGAGAATATATAATTCTAAAGGCTCTATGAGTGCATCTATTTCTCTATGTAGCAATCTGGAATGGGATCAGATTTTTACAATTCACAGACCCAACATCTCTAAGTAGATCAACTGAAGATTAGGTAAACATGTTCCCAGAGCAAAAAGTACTTAGGGGAAGTGGTTTTCATCAGCAAGTGAGAAAATTAAATTAGCATTCATTCAACCAGAACAGATTTAAGTATTTGTAATTAACTGAAATTATTTCAGATTTTTTAATTTCAAATTTGACGTTTATTGTACATAACAAGAGGTTTTATAGTCTTAACAGTAGAGAGATAATTTTGGCTAATAGCTTTCCAACACCAGTAAACAGTTGATTTAACTCTCCTAATGAGAATATAAATATGTCTACTCTAATTTGGATTATGTTCTACTTAAAACCTTGATTTTTATTATTTGGACAGTTTGAATTACTGTCAGATAATTTAGTACAATGTCAGAAAGATAGGGATATTATTGTCAAATTAAGTCCATCTATCAATACCTACTTATTTAGAATCAACCAAATAACTGTGGTATTAGAAATGTAATTAAAAGTATAATTATAAGGTGTTTTTATAAAGAAAATTAATTAGGAGAAAATAAATGGTGAGTACCCAAATCATAGAATCATAGTCTCTAAAGCAAATGATGTCTGACATGGCAGTAAAAATATCTTTTAGAAATTACTATAAACATTAGTGTCTCAATGAATACTTGTGAATGAGGTTCAGGCAGATCCACGGATTAAAACAATTCTAGTGCTGAGGTAAGATAAAACAGTTGTCAAGAGTCTATACATTGTTTTAGCCATGACAAAATACCTTTACATTTACGTTCCTAAATAATCTTTCCTTATTTTTTTTTCTTGCTTTTTATTCAAAGCCCAAGTGCTTTCACTCTATTTTCCTTACTTTTTAATTCTTGGAAAACTAGAAAGGTAGTTTAGCATGTCCACATAGTTTTTTTCTAATCTTTTTGAAAATTCTTCCAACTTTTTTGAGCTTTACCTCTGAGGGCAACCACAGTTAATGTCTATTCCATTTGCATAAGGACAGACTATACGGGCAGCATCAGATAAAAGCCTCGCATCATTAGCAGCAAACTGAACAATCAATGGGCAATCACCTGACAAAACAAGTAGTTCAACATTAAAATTCACAGAAACATACATACACACATGATACCAAATTCTAGTGTTTGTACAATATAAAATAACTGATTTTTAGCCAAAGAAGAATCTGTTCAAACAAGATAGCATTAAAATAATTTTAAATATTTAAAATTAAAAACAATTTACAATTAGTATAAATTCAACAGTATAAAGTTTTATAAAATGAAAACTACAACACTGTTGACAGACCCCTTTCCTAATGGTAAGAATTAGTTATTGTATTCCAAAACAATTTTATGTATATCTGTAAAATTTAAACAAATGTGCACATTCTATGTACATTGATACGTCTACTGCTTTCTTTTAAATCTGATATATCTGGGAGCTGTACTCAGACTTATTTTCTAATTTTAGTGGCACATTCCACTGTATGCAGATGAACCACACAGTGTATTTCTAGACTGTTTTTCCTTTGTGGCTCATGTAAACACTGTGATGAGGGCACTCTTACATACATGCTTTTGTGAGTATATTCATTGGGTAAATTCCTAGGCCTGTAACTGTTGAATAAGCATCTAACATTTTGATAGATATTATAAAAATTTCTTTCAAAAGAATTTACCAATATAGATACATATCACTATAGATGAAAGTTATTGTTTTCTTGAAATTTATCCTACATTGTATATCCAATAGTGTACATTTTTCTTGCTGGACTCTCCATATTCTTTGAATATTTTTCTATGCACAATTTTTCTTTTAGTTGTTCCCTGTTTTCTTATTAATTTTGAATAAAGCAATGAAATTAGCTCTATCATAAATATAAATATTTCCCAGTTTTAGTTTGTCTTTATGAGTATATTTGTGCTCTTTTCTTATATATGAGTTTAAATTTTAATATAGCTAAATGTATCAGAACTTTCCTAGGTTTTAAGGACAATTTCTTTTTTTAATCTTTGGGTGAGTGTTATAAACTCCAAATAGATGTATTTTAATTTTTCTAAAGACTTTTTGATGACTACCTGTATGAGAATTACTGTGGGTTTGTCAAAATGCAGATTTCTAGATATCACCCTAGTTCTACTGATTTATAGTATTATCATGGGATCAGAGAATTTGGTTTCTCCTGAGGATAAAGGGTGCATTCTCCTTTGTAACTCAAGAGAATTACATTCGTTTATGGGTCTAATATATTTTTAACACTGTGCTAGAAATGGAGGATACAAGTCAGTAAGAAATAGTTCCAGGTCTCAAGGAGCCCATACTCTAGCAGGTGAGACAGGTATTTAGAGAAGATTATAACATAGTACGATTAAGTATGACATAAAGCCTGTGCTTCAAAGAAAGGACATGAGTGGAGGGTGATTAGGAAAGCATCTTGGCCACAAAATTCGAGAGCTGGATTAAGAAGCATTAACTGTCATTTTCCAGAGAAATGGGGATACAGAGGACAGGCATGACTGAGAAGGATATTCTAAGTAGAGAGGTATGAGAGAATAGCATGTTTGAGGATTTTAAATAACTTCGTATTTGTGAATAATAAAGTCAGTGGGCTATGGAGAGAAACTAATGGAAGATAAAGCTGCAGATCTATTCAAAGACTAGATCATGAAAAATGCTATATATTATTCACAGGTGCTGGAATTTTACTCTTTAAGCCAGTGGTTCTCAATCTTTAGCAAGCTTAGAATCTTCCGGAGGGCATTTAAAAACAGATGGCTGGACCACATACCCAGAGATTCAGGAGGCCTGGAGTGGAGCCTGGGAATGTCCAGTTCTGATGAGTTTCCAGACGATGCTGATGCTGTTGGTCTGGGGACTCACAATTTAGGAATCACTGCTTTAGGCAATGAGAGGTCTGAGAGATGTGATCAAATTTGTATTTTAGAAAGGTCACTTTGGGCTGTTTGTGGGATAGTTTGCAATGGGAGAAGACCGTGGGCATTGTGACAGAAATCTAATTGAACAGTCCAGGTGAGAGAAGGGGGTCATAGGGAAGGCTACTTTACACTTTGCATACCATCCATAGTTTGAAGACACTCTTTACGTAAAAAGATACTTAAAAAAAGACTTATTAAAAACATAAAAAACTAAAGTAGTTAAAAATAAAATCTCTGAATTGTGTTGTTTCTGATTAAACAAGATGGTTGAGTTCTTTTTCCTTTTTAAGTTTTACCAAGTCAGCAAACTCTTGTTTCACATACCTTGGTTTGTGGTAAATTCACTGTCTCTGGCTTTTATAGATCTGACAAAATCAGCGGCAACTATCATTGGTGTATAGCACAGATCACAACTGTATTTTCTTACTAGTGTTCTAAAAGCCAACCTATAAATGGATAAAACTTTAATTAGGCATTTAGAAATCACCACAATCATATATACTTTCAAGTGTAATTTAGTTAATTATTAAATATGTATTAGAGGAAAGTTCTGCCTATGGGAAGATGGAGATGTACTTTTCTCTATACTTCCTGCTTGGTATAACTAGAAACCCTGGATGTTTTATGTAAAACAAACAGAAGAAAAGTATGAAAAGTGGAGAGACAGAGCAATACAGTGAGTGACCTTGAGATCTGAGGAATAACAATAGTGAGTTCCCTGGGTTCTCCCCCCAACTCAAATAACCAGACATAGAGCTGAAGAAGCCAGCAATAGGTGCAGACAAAATAGCATGAACAAAAGTCTGCCTTCCCTACCCACATGGCCAGGAAAGGGGCAACCTAACAAGACAAAAACACTTTAAATAACAGCAGCTCTATTCCAGCCAAACAATGAGGAAAACAAAAAAAAAGTATGGTTCCACCTCCACGAAGGCTAAGTGGGGAGCCTAGATATCTACCAATCAAAGGCTGTAACAAGGTTTTTTAATGCCCCACCAAGGCAGTATCAGAAAAGGCCAGGTAGGTAGTTGGGACTTCAGTGGTATCAGTGGCGACCTCCTGGGGAGCTTGGAATTCCATACTACCCAGCAGTAATGGGGCACCCTTCTTTCTCCCCACTAGGAGTAGCGTCAGAGCATGCATAGTAAAGAGCCAGGACTTTCATCATCGCCCAGTAGCTATCAGGCCACCCCTTTCACGGGGAGCTGGAACTCTCACCCTTGCTCAGCAGTAATGAGGGGACCCTTCCGCTCAGATTGTCAAAGGAGACCAAGTGGGGAAACTGGGTTTCTACCTCCACCTAATTGTGATGAGATTTCCCCCCTGCTGTAGTGGTGTCAGAAAACAAAAGCAAAAACAAAAACAGAACATTCAATAATCAGAATCAATGGAAACCACTATATCAATAGGCTAAAGAAAAAAAAAATCATATGATTTTATCAATTGATGCACAAAAAGCATTTGACAAAATAACTCATTCATGATAAAAAAAACTCAGAAAAACATGAATAAAAGGGATCTTTCTCAACTTGATAAAGAGCACCCACAAAAAGCCCTACAGCTAACATTATATTTAAAGGTAAAAGATAAATTACCTTCCCCCTAAATTCAGAACAAGGCCAGTGGAAAAAATAAAATAAAGATTAAATTTTAAAAAATAAATAAATTAAAAACGAAGGCAAAGATGTCTGTTCTCATCATTCTTATTCAAAACAGTGCTAGAACTTCTAGTCAGTGTAGAAGGGCATGAAAAAGAAACAAAAAGCATATGGTGGAAAGGAAGAAATAAAACAGTTCCTATTTGCAGAGGACATGATTGTTTACATATATAACCCCAAGGAATTTACCAAAAAACCCTCCTAGAACCGAAAAGCGAGTTCAAATTTCCAGGATACAAGATTAACATATGAAAATCAATTTTATTTCTATATACAAGCAATTAACACATGGACACTGAAATTAAAAATATAATAAATACCATTTACAATCACTCAAAAAAAATGGTGTAAGTTTAACAAAAAACATGCAGAACTTACATGCTGAAAACTACACAACACTGATGAAAGAAACCAAACAAGATCTAAATAAATCTTGACATACTGTATTCATGTTGGGTGAGAGGGCACAGTAAGGAATTCAATTCTCTCCAAGTTGATTTGAATATATAACACAATTCTTATGAAAATTCCATCAAGATATTTTGTACAAAGATCATCATAAAATTTAGGATGGCAAATGAACTAGAATAGCTAAAACAATTTTGAGGGAAAAAAAAAAGTGGTGGAGGACTCAGTCTACCTGATTTCAAGATTACATAGCTGGCAGTAATAATAAAGACTGTGGTACTGGTGGAGGAATAGACCCACAGATCAATGAACAAGAATAGAGAATCTAGACAGAGAGCCATACAAACACGCCCAGCTAATTTTTGACAAAAATACACAAGGAATTCAATAACGGAAAGGCAGTCTTTTTCATAAATGGTGCTGAAATAATTAGATGTCCACAGGCAAACAAAATGCCTCGCACTTACAAAAAAAACCCCTCAAAATTGATTGTGGACCTAAATGTAAAACATAAAGCTGTAAGACTTCTAGAGAAAAAACAGGAGAAAATCTTTAGAATCTACAACTACACAAAGATTTCTTACACTTCACACCAAAAGCACAATTTACAAATGAAACAATTGATAAATTAGACGTAATTCCTAATTAAAAATCTTTTGCTTTGCAAAAGACAATTCATTAAGAAGATGAAAAAATAAGTTATATATTGGGAGAAAATATTTGCAAACCACAAATCTGAGAAGAGTAGTATCTAGAATATATACAGAACTCAAAACTCAATAGTAAACAAAAACTCAAAAACAAATGAACCTGACCCAAAATGGGCGAAAGGGCTTGAACAGACATTTCTCCAGAGAAGACATACGAAAAGCCAAAAGAACATTAAAAGATGCTTGACATCGCTAGTGAAATACAAATTAAAATCACAGTGAGATACCATTTCATACCCGTTAGGATGGGTATAATAAAAAAGAAAAACAAAACCAAAAACAAAACCAGTGTTGCTGACGATGTTGAGATTTCAGACTCCTGTGCACTGCAAGTGGGAATGTAAAATGGTATAGCTGCTATGAAAAACAATATGGAGTTTTCTCTAAACCTAAAAGTAGAATTTTTATATCATCCAGCAATTCCACTTCTGGGCATAAACCCTGAAGAATTAAAAACAGGGTCTCAACGAGGGATTTTTACATCCGTACTCACAGCAGTATTATTTGCAGAAGCCAAAAGATCAAGTAACCCAAGTGTCCATCAATTAATAAATGAATAAACAAAATGTGGTATATACATACAACGAAATATCCTTCAGCCTTAAAAAGGAAATTCTGATACATGCCACAACATGGATGAATCTTGAAGATATTATGCTAAGTGAAATAAGCTAGTCTTAAAAAGACAAATATGGTATAATTCTACTTCTATGAAGTATTCTATATAAACTAGTCAAATTCATAGGAGAAAGAATGGTAGTTGCCAGGAGCTGGGAGAACAGGGAGTTAATTGGTATAGAGGTTTAGTTTTGTAGGATGAAAAAGTGACTGGATATACAACAATGTGAATGTACTTAACAGTACTGAATCATGCACTTAAAAATGTTTAAAACAAGCTCTGGCTGGTGTGGCTCAGTGGACTGAGTGCCAGACTGGAAACCAAAGGGTCGCCAGTTCAATTCACAGTCAAGGCACATTCCTAGGTTGCAGGCCAAGTCCCAAGAAGGGGGAGTGTGAGAGGCAACCACACATTGATGTTTCTCTCCCTCTTTTTCTCCTTCCCTTCCCCTCTCTCTAAAAATAAATACACACACTCTTAAAGAAAAATAGTAAATTTTAAGTTACATTTACCTTAACCATAAATGAAAAATTTAAAAAGCCAATTTAATAATAAAAAAACAATTCAATTAGAATATTAGCAAAAAACATAAAGAAACATTTCTTCAACCATATACAGATCTCAGACATGTGAAAAGATGTTCAATGTCACTAGACACACAGGAAATGGTAATCAAAACCACAATGAGATATTACTGCAAACCTATCAGCATGGCTAAAATACAAATAGTGACATTATGAAAAGTTGTTCAGGAGGAGAGGAAACCAGATCCCTCATATATTGTTGGTGGAAGCATAAAACAGTGTAGCCACTCTAGAAAAGTATAGCAGTTTCTTAAAAAAGTGAACACAGGTAACTACCATTTGACCCAGCAATTGCAGTCCTGTATATTTGTCCTAGTTTAAATGAAGACTTATGTTTGCACCAAAACCTCTGCATGAATGTTTATATTTATATCCATCATATCTTTATAGGTGGGAGCTATTAACACTACCATTTTTTTAGAGCTAAAAATTAAGCTTGGAGAGGTTATTTATTTACTCAGGGCAACACACATACTTGGCAAGTGGTAACACCAGGACTCAAGCCTAGATCATGATCCCAAAGCTCAGTGTTTGAGGATGCTATGTGGTGAAGTAGTCTTACTTTAAAAAAGTCAGAGCATGAAAAGGAAATCATCATTTAACAAGACTTACTTTGAATATCGAACCATTGGGGCAGAGACTTTTACCAGCTGCCCAGAATGAAACATTTCTATTGGATCTTTTTTTATTTCTTGACATATTGTGGTTTGCATGCAGTCGTTCTTCATGGACATAGGTTTGTTTCAAATCTGAAAAAAAAAAACAACAAACCAAAACCCCCACTCAGTTTGCAGAGATGTTCCCTTTCATTAGATGGATTCCTATCATTCTAACAATTTCAATTCCTGAGAACATACATTTTTAATTAGGCTTGTGGGATCAGACATCTTTTTTATTATTATCACTGGAGAACATTTTTAAAATCCTTTTTGTTTTCTTAAAAATTTTATTTATCTTTATAAAGAGGTGAAGGGAGGGAGACAGGGAAAGAAACACTGGTGTGAGAGAAAAGCACCAATTGTCTGCCTCTCATATGCACCTCGACTGGGAACAAACGTGTAATCAACACGTGCCCTGACTGGGAATCGAATGGGTGACCTTCATTTTGCGGAAGGATGCCCAACCAACTGAGCCACATGGGTCAGGGCCTGGGGACATTTTTTCATTTCATTGCTTTTAGCGAGAGAGGAAGGGAGGGAGAAGGTGGGCAAGCGTGGGGGCGGGGGTTGGAGAGCGAGAGAGAGAATTAATGTGAGAAACATCAATGAGTTAGTTACCTTCCATACCCACAACCTAGGTATGTGCCCCAACTGGAAATTAAACCTGCAACCTTTTGGTGTATAGGATGATGCTCCAACTGAGCCATGTTGGCCAGGGCAGGATCAGAAATCTTTTTAACTTCTTTTCACAGTATCAAATATGATACCACAATATTCTGCCTTTACAAGTCACTAATAGCTTTTTAGCATAATGGGAAATTATGGTGTTTATGTTCTATAGAGATTATTCTTGTTTATATCAAACACCAAATGGTTTCAAATTCTATACTTAACTCATTATAGTAACAGTTTCTGCTCAAATTAATAAATAACCAAGAAGTGGAAAACTTTTAAGATTTTTTTCATAGTATACCATGTTATAACTTTTCATGTTATTTTTAATTTTAATTTTTGGCAATTATAAACCAGGAAATTTGATTGGAATCATTTCATATACTGTAAGTGTATGTCTGGCAGTTTGAAATACATTATTTTATCTAGGAAATTTAAATGGCCTTAATTAAACAACTTTAAGTAGTTAGCATTTCAAAAGATAGACTGGTATGTTTAATTTTTACTCTTATTCTCAAATCCTATTCTTTATACCTGAATCAGAAGGCAAAAGAAAAAATTATCACTTATTCTTAAAAACTTAAATGTAGTATTATCTAGTGGAAATTTCATGATAAATATATAATTGCATAGTAAATTACTTTTCTGCCTGAAGTGGTACAAGTGTTAAATTAGGTAGTTCATAGTATTTTTCAGTTGCTATACTTAAAATCTTACAATTTTATAGTGTTATCTTTTCATATTTCAGTTTTTGGCTTTAGTAACTTAGAAATGTATATGGGACAACTTTAGAATGGTTGGCTTGTTCAACATGCAAGTTTTTATTTGGCTAATCCTGAAAGTATAGATATAACCTAAATATAATTATTGTAATTTTCTTAGGTAGGGTGTACAGTTGGAATACGATAAACTAGTTTTATTAATTACTGCTTAATAAGCCAAACTTAATAAAAATTTGGACAAAGTTATTAGCATCTTATCTTTTATCTTTCAAAAAATTACCTTTTATTTTTCAATTACAGTTGCCATATATTATCATTAGTTTCAGGTCTACATCCCAGTGATTAGACATTATATAACTAAGTCAGTATCTTGATAAATTTTGTACCCATCTAACACCATCAATAGTTATTAGAGTTTTATTGACTATATTCCCTATACTGTACTTTACATTCCCATGACTATTCTGTAACAACATATTTGTACTTCTTAACCCCTTCACTTTTTCACCCATCTCTCCTAACCCCTTATCTGGCAACCATCAAAATGTTCTATCTATGAGTCTTTCTGTTACACTTACTTTTTTAACTTATTTTTTTAATCGATTTTAGAGAGAAAGGTGAGGAGAGAGACAGGGAGGGAGGGAGGGAGAGAGAAAGAGAGAAGGAAGGGAAGGGAGGGAGTTAGGGGGAGAGAGAACATCAATTTGAGACAGAAACATCAATCTGCTGCCTCTCATATGTGTCTCAATTGGGGATCGAACCTGCAACTTTTCTGTGTACAATACAATGCTCCAACCAACTGAGCCACTTGGCCAGGGCTTTGTTTTTTAGATTCAATTGTTGATAGATACGTATTTATTGCCATTTTGTTGTTCAAATATTTGATCTTTTTTTTTCTTTTTAAAGAACATTTCATATAATACTGGTTTGGTGGTGATGAACTCCTGTAGCTTTTTCTTGTCTGGGAAGCTCTGTATCTTTCCTTTGATTCTAAATGACAGCTTTGCTGGGTAGTGTAATCTTGGCTGTAGGTCATTGTTTTTCATCCCTTTGAATATATCTTGCTAATCCTTTCTGGCCTGCAAAGCTTCTGTCCAGAAATCAGCTGAAAGTCTTACGGGAGCTCTGTTGTAGATAACTGGTTTTCTCCTGCTGCTTTTTAAGATTCTTTGTCTTTAACCTTTGGCATTTTAATTATGTGTCTTACTGTGGGCCTCTTTGAGTTCATCTTGTTTGGGACTCTCTGTGTTTCCTGACTTGCATGTTTATTTCCTTCGCCATGGAAGTTTTCTATCATTTTTTCAGATAGGTTTTCAATTTCCTGCTCTCTCTCTTGTCTCCTTCTGGCATACCCATGATGCAAATGTTGGTACACCTGAAGCTCCTAAAGTCTCCTTACACTATCCTCATTTTTTTGGATTCGTTTTCCTTTTTGCTGTTCTGATTGGGTGTTTTTTGCTTCCTTATATTCCAAATTGCTGATTTGATCCTTGGCTTTATCTACTCTACTGTGATTCCTTGTAATTACTCTTTATTTCAGCTAGCATGTCCTTAATTTCTGACTGGTCCTTTTTTATGCTGTTGATGTTCTCATTAAGTTCATTGAGCATCCTTATAACCAGTATTTGAAACTCTGCATCTAGTAGATTGCTTGTTTCCATTTTGGTTAGTTCTTTTTTGGAGTTTTGTTCTGTTCTTTGTCTTTTCATTTTGGCAGCTTCCCTATGTTCATTTCCATATATTAGGTATAGCTACTATGACTCACAGGTTTGGTAGGGTGGCCTAATGTAGTGCGTGTGGGGTTCAGTGTCATAGCCTTCCCAACCACCCAAGCTGAGAACTCGAGGTGTGCCCACTATGGGGCCTGTGTACTCTCCTATTGCAGTTAAGCCTTGATTGTTGTGGGCATTTCTGCGGAAAGGATTTACACCCTGGTAGGCTGGCTGTAAGTACTGCCTACGACCACCAAACACTCAGGTGCAATACCACTGATCAGCTGTGCAGGGGCCCACTCCACAGAGCAAGACTTACTTCAGTGGGACTTTGGTGCCTGCTGAGTTCATCCCTTGAGCATGTCGCTTGTGAAGGTGGCTAGGTGGTGACACTTCAACTTGATCTGAAGCTGCCCACTGGAGCACTGGCTCTGGGCCTTTCAGGAGGTGTAGGCCAAGCTCAGCTGCCATCTGTGTTCTGCCTGGGGCCACCCAACATGAGCTACAAAGAGGTCTGCAGAAGGCTACCACATGTGCTGAGCTTCGAGGTGCCCTAGTGAGGCCCAACTGCAAACCAAGGCTGGCTGCTGCTAGTACCAAGCTTGGGGCCACTTAGCAAGAGGTACAGGGCACACTGAGGCCAGATGTTGCTTGTTTGAGAGATTTTAGTTAAGTCTGAAGCCTGAGCCAAGACAGGATATTTGCATGAAAAAGCCACTGGGAACAGCTTGGGTTAGCCTGAAAGTTGGGTGGGGTGGGCCCTTGAGGAATCACCAGGGCAGGGCAGGGCAGTGTTAGCCAGGTTGATGGAATCTCAGATATGGCACCTGCCTGCTGGCTTTGTGTGGGGAGGGCTCATCAAAGGAATAAATGGCCTCTCCCAGCACTTCTGTCTGGGAGAAAGCTATCTCTGCTCCTGCTCCCTGCAGTTTTCACCCTCATGCCAGACAATTAATTTCCTCCCTTTATGTCTCTGGTGCCTTTCAAGTTGCTGTCCCAGGACTGGAGCTCACATGGTCATTTTGAGTAGGTCTGTGTATGGAACTTTTAGGAGAAACTGCCTGGGACTCTAGTGTCCCTCTCTCCCCCTCAGCTTCCATCCCCGCTGGTTTTTACATGCTGAAAGTTATAGGGACTTCTCTTTCTGGCACTGAAACTCTGGGCTGGGGGCCCTGGTGTGGAGCTGGGACCTCTCACTCCTCAGGGGGTAGCTCTGTAGTCAATATCCCTCCCAATTTTCATCTACCATACATGGGTGTACGGCCAGTCTGTTCCATGTCTCCATCCCTCCTACCAGTCTTGATGTGGCTTGTTTTTTAATTCACTAGTTACAGGACTTCCATTCATCTGGATTTTAGGCAGTCCTTAATGATGGTTGTTCTGTAGTTTAGTGGTGTTTGGATGTGGTTGTGAGGGTTGGAGAGTACCACATTTACCAGTGCCACCATCTTGACCTTTGTTATCTTTTTTATAATAAAAATTCATTAGAGGATATAAGCAACATGTATAAATAACAAAACAGTTCTTTTCATGAGTCAAACCTGTTTCTTCTGTTTTGCATTTTATATCTTGGTTATGCCATCACTGTCCACTCCTACTTACTCCAGTCAGAAATCTAGAGTTTTCTTTACTTCTCCGTCTCCCACAAGCATGTGAACCAAGTGGTACCTTTAATTAAATGTTAAGCACATCTTTATTGCCCCTCTCTGTACATACTCATAATCCTCCATCCTGAAAGTCTTTTTGAATCCCAGATAAGAGTTGATCTTACTCACTACACCCATTACTCTGTTATATTATCATGTGTACTTACAATTACTTTTATAGAGTATAATAATACCTATCTGTCTCTTCATGAGTTTTTCAGGGAATGGTCATGTATTTATTCATTCAACCAATATTAAGTTCCTGGAAGATGTTGAAAATACAGATGAAAATACATTTCCTATGTCCTTAAAAACACATTAGAAATATACAAAACAATAGCTCCAAAACACACACATGCACACACTGACAATTTAACCATTGTGGAACTGTCTAAAGTAGCGAGGGAGTCATCAGCAATGGAGGAAGGAAAGCTTGAGCTGTAACTATGTGGGAGTTGGGGGAGTGTCTAGCCACAGACAACACATATAACACCAGATGCTTGAAAGTGCTCAATGTTTTCAATGAACCATTAGTAGTTTAGTGTTAGTTCTAACTGAACTAGAGAGTGAGAGGGCCTTATATACCAGGTTAAGATTGCTTTATATTATATAATGCAGGGCACTGATTTTCAACCTTTTTCATCTCATGTCATACATGAACTAATTATTAAAATTCTGCAGCGCACCCAAAAACCCAAAACAAAAAACAAAACAAAACAAAAAAACAGTAGAACCTCAGTTCTCAAACTTAATTCGTCTGGGAATGCTGTTTGAGAACCAAATTGCTCGAGGTTGGAGACGTTCAAGACCTGAAACTGAGGTTCAACTCTATTTTTTGATCTGACAAAAAAAGAATAGGTATAATTTTGATTAATTTACACCAGATGGCTATTGTTGTATTGGCTGTTGTCATTTTTGCAATTGACAATCTAAGGGAAAAGAGGTCAGTGCCCCTGACTAAATAGTCAGGTATCATTTGTTTTTAAAATTCTTGTGCCACTCTGGTTGAAAATCTCTGAGGTAGGGCTTTGGTTCTTAACTAGTTTTTCTCCTCCATAAGAGATTTTTACATATGTACTTAACATGCTAACATATGCATGTAACGTATTTCCATGGGTGCACCACATATTTTTATACAAGCTGTATGTCTCTCCTTGTTACTAGTTCAAACTGAAAATTTACAGCAAGGAAATGGCAAGATGAGATTTCTAATCTGGAAAGATCTCACTGGAGGGGGTAGGACTGTTGGCAAAATAACAGTAAGGAGGACATGACAGTAGATCAGGCCATGCATAATAAGTGTCTGATCTGGGACTCTGGAGGAATAGAGAAAACAAATTTAGGAGCTATTTAGAAATAACAATAAACTGGCAAAATTTTTAGAAGGTGGAAACCACTTTATGACAATACATGTTACACAGGAAGAATTCTAGAATGATGCACATGCTTTTGGCTTTAGAGACTGGATGGATAGTAATTCAGATCAGTGAGACAGAGAACCAGAAAGAGAAATAGATTTTGGCAGGGAGACATGAGTTCATATTTGGACACACTGAACTGGAAGTGCTTATGGGATGGATTTCCAGATGGTGATGCCTCATAATTGGTCATATAGATACAGTGCTCAAGAAAAAGCTATAGATTGAGTCTTTAAACTTTAGATAATTAATTGAATCTAAAAACACGACCAATACTTCAGGATGCCTTAGTTTGCAAGAGATCCTTCAAAATACCAACATTTAAGTGAAAGAGAAAAAGAAGAATGCAAAGGAGATGGAAATGAACTCTGGAGCTGGGAAGAAGAAACTTGAAGACTGATATTCAAATACCAAGAGAGGGGAGAGTGTTACAAAGGACGAGGGGATAAACATCTTAAACATCACAGAAAAGTTAAATAAGGTAAATACTAAAACGTGTGCAACTAGGTCATTAGTGACTTTCACAAGAACAATTTTATTCTTATTCAGTCTTGTAATTTTGCTGAATAAATTCAAAATCAGTAGCTCTCAACCATGGTTGTAGATTAGAATATGGGGAGCTTTTAAGAATCAGGATGCCCAAACCATAACCCAGACCAATTAAATGTGAATCTTTGGGCTTAGTATGCTGGCATCGGCGATTTTTAAAGCTCTCTAGGTGATTTCAATATGCAACCAGCACGGGGGAAAATAAATCCATACACTACATAACACCTGGTACAACTGCATATTTAAATATCTCTACCTTACCTATTAGCTCCTTGGGGATAGGATATGGATTGAGTCATATGTTTGTAAACTCATGCTGTACTGTATAGCTGGGGCTCAAAACTCCTCATTGTAACTTTTCTAAAATTTTCCAATGTAAAAGCCAATGGGAGAAAAATAAGAAAAACAAATTTCATATTTCTAAGATAATGCTTATTAACATTCACGAATTATTTAAAATTTCGTTTATGGAAAATGAAACCTGAGTCTGAGCACACTGCTCTTGGCAATTGTGTTATCTCAATTCGCGTGACCTCAATTTCGAACCATCAATCCTATTCACGCCATGATTGAGATCAAACAAATTACATTAGGGAAAAACCTGAGACAAAAAGAAAGCATAATGTAGTGTGAGACTTGCTCACTTAAGCTGTTTTAAATATTAAATGCACTTATAAAGTACTTAGAAAAAGCATTTAGCACAGGGTAAATACAATTATTGCACCTTCTGAAATATTCTTAGCACAATCAAGATAACCACATAACTCTGAATTGGGACAACAATGGCTCCCTGTGTACATAAAGAAAAAGTTGTATTAGTATCTTTATATGAAGAAATGCTTAACCTTCTTGCATACATGACTGATCTGTTAACTTATTAGCATGCATCTTGGGAGAAATCTAGGTTAATGAATAATGCAGATATAGCAGAGAAGACGATGAGAACTAGCTTGATTTTGCAGCTTAAGTACTGTTAGTTGAGATATGGAAAATCCATCAGATTGTAATTTGAAGAAGTATGGCGTCATTCATAGCACGTGGCTGAAACGGAGAAAAGCAGGTCCTGATCTCATGGGAGAGAGGACAGAGACTGAGTCCACATGTTCCTTCTTCATCGACTCTGGGCTCTTCCTAACTCTCACTTCATGCCCGGGAACTTTCTTTCCCAAGCATTTCCCACATGCCTTTACCTCAGGATTGAGAATCAAGACGTGGGACAGAAGAAACTGGATAACTAACTCCCGCCAGCTGGCCCCGTGGAACGCAAGTGAAGCTCCCACAAACCACCGCTCTCCTCTCCTGCCTCCAAGAAGCCCCTGTCCTTAAATACTTGCTTTAGCGATAACCGCTGAGGCCACGTTCCGGCGCCCACCTTTTCGGTCCGGGAACCACTTAAGCCCCAGTGGCACGACGAGAGACAGCAGACAGCGACGGCCCCGCGGCTTCGGGTGGGCTAAGCCCTTGGCGCCCACCTGCTCTAGGATCCGGACGTGTCCCAGCTAGGACCCAAGCAGCTGCAGCCTACTGAACCAATTCACCAGGCGGGCCGGAGGCCGTGGGCGGGGTGGGGGGAGCGGGTGGCGCCGAGATTTTACGTCACCACTTAGGCGGAGCAGCGCTCCGCTGACGTCATCACTCCCGGTGCCTGCCAACATGGAAGGTGGTGAAGGCGGCGTCGCTTTGGTTGGCCATGGGGCTCTGGGCTGCCGGGCGGCTGCAGCAACAGTCCGGGAGCTTCTGCAGGACGGTAAGGAGTTGGGGTGGGTCGGATTGTGGGGTTAGGGAGCTGTCCTGCGTCGCACGTGGGCCCAGGTAGTGGACTCAACCCGTCTCTTTGCAGAAAGTTTTCCGGTCTCGACCTGACCACTCCCATCCGCCCGTCCCCCTGGCGTCTGGGTGCTGGCCACGCAAGCCCTTGTTTCCTGGGACACCTGATTTCTGTTTGCTGCTCATTTCAGCTCTGCCCTCCACGCACCTGGGGCTTCCCTGAAGTCCTGGGACCGCGCAACCGGTTACTTAACGTTGGCAGCCACTGGCTGCTGCCGCAGTTCTTGACGAAAGTGTAAAGCATTCCATCCATGAGAAGTGTGAGACCTAGAACAGATGACATACACTTCATGAAAGAGGACCTCGTTTTTAAATAGATTTGGGAACATCCCCTTTGTTAAATTCTTAGACTACACAGATAGCAATTCTTGGAGGTTCGTTTATTTTTTTCGTGGCGTTTATCCACAACCATGCATGGGAGAGGGTTTGGAGCATTCGTTCAAGCCAGGATATGTGTTGAATATAACAGTTAGGTTTATTGACAGTTTTAGACAGCAATTGCTAGATATTAGAAGATAAGCTAAACATAGTACATTTGAGAAGCACATTAGATTGTATTATTACAGTTAACATGCCCCAAATCTCTTACTCTTCAGAATAAAGTTCAGATTTCTAAGACCCTTCTCATCTATTCTTAATTTTCTTCCCGAATTGTCATCATGTACTCTACCTTGTATTAAAATAATTTGATAATTTAATCTTTTTTACTGCGTTGTAAAACTCCTTTTTATATCCCACAGTGTTAACATCATTACTTTGCATATAGTAGGTGAAGAAAAAGGGCTTTAAATTTTTTTTTAGGGGGGAAGGGAGGGAGAGAGGAAGAGAAACATCAGTGCTAGAGAGAGACATCCATTGATTGCTTCTGTTATGCCAACCTGCAACCTAGGCATGTGCCCTGACTGGGAATAGAACTGGTGATCTTTTGCTTTGTGGTTGACACTCAGCCAACTGAGCTACACTGCTCAGGACGAATAAGGGTTTTTAAATTGAACATCAAAGTAAGAAGCATATGCACACATTTGTAGGCCACGTAGGTTATAAATGAATGAAATAAAGTTCTGTGGTCAAAAAAGGGGCCATATACTAAACCTGACAAGCCGAGGGGAGGCCTGCATAGCGACCTTACAAACTCAGAGACTTAAAGTAACCACATAGGATGGTCTGAAATTAAGACTTTCTAACTCAAAGCAAGTCATGGTGGGTAGTCATGTCATAGGCCAGTATCTTTCTTGACAAAGGTCAGTCTTAACCTTAACTGAGCCTGTCTGTTGTCTTTTGGCATTTACAACAACACACCTTTGGAATGTCAGAGTAATCCTGGTTTGCCATTGCCATACCCCTAAGGGCATAGTCTAACTGCCAGGACTTGAGACCAGAGAACCTCTCTTTGTTACCTTGTTTTCTGACATACCATCTCTACATGGTATAAATGTTAATGGTAAACTGCCCATACCCACCAATGTAAAAGTATTTGTCTTTTCCTTTTACTCTTTATTCTGTCTCAGAGATTTCCTCGCTTTACGTTCTCCCACCTCCCTAATCCCAAGGGATTTCTTGTAACCTCCCCCTCCCCTTATGCCTTCTCCTTTGATTCTGATGTATAAATAAGGTGCAGAAATGTCATTTTCTGCAGCACCTTCTCAGTCTGTTGATATTTTGCTTCCCTGCAAGTGTCAGTTTGGCTCAAATAAACGCATAATAATTGTTACAGGTTTGGAAGTTTCTTACATCTGACAGTTCTATATTGTTTTCTCTGACTGTTGTATATTTTATTATTGCCCTTAATTACCAGCCTTCTCATAATTTATATGCTTTTGTCAAAACCTAACTAATGGTGGTATTTTTTGAACTAGATTTTATTAGGTTCCATAGGTTAGATTCTGTCTAATGCATCTTTGTTTGAATCTTAATTTAAACTCAGTTGAACCAAGTTTTGAGCTCTGATATATGAGCAATTCCCACCCTGAAGTAGCTCACTTCTTTTGTAGGGAAATAGACTTGTAGAGCTTTAAAAAGAGGCACTGTGACACAGGGTTGTAAGGGTAGCAGTAAAATTGTGTACAAAGTAAAACAGTAATACAGAGGACGATGATAACTGGGAGTGGTTAGGGGAGTGTCAGGAAAGTCTAGGTACAGTTGGTTTTGAAGTGTAAATAGAACTCCCCAGAAGAAATGTAAGAGACAATACATGCCAGACATAGGTATATATTCCGTTGGCCAAAAAGTCCGTTTGGTTTTTTGCATAAAATAAAAGACATTTTTCGTTTTCACCAATAACTTTATTGATTTGGATATTATGAATATGCCACCTATTTCCTGCTATTGGCTTCTAGTGGGTAGAGGACAGGGATGCTGCTAAACATCTTCCAATGCATAAGACAGCCCCACGGCAAAAAATTATTTGGCCAGAATGTCAAGAGAATCAAGGAACTTCACAAAGCACTTTTGACACATAACCAAGAAACTTTGCAAAGCACTTTTGACATGTTCTGTCAATCACAGCACCTTCTCCATACACTGCACAAATCTTTTTTTGCATTTCAGTTACGTTTTTACCTTTTTTGAAATCATAAAGCATAACACACTGAAAATGTATATTTTCTTCCATCTTTCCTTAATATTAAAATGGCTTCACAAAGATTCACCAATTTTGATAAATTTTTAAACGCATGCTGATGTGACAGCTGTTACAATACAATCTAACAAAATTGTTTTGCATGAAGGTAAAGACAACTTAAGCACTGCTAGAGTCGTCGTATGGAAAAAAATTAAATGAACTTTTTGGCCAACCCAGTATTTCAGTATGATACATTCCAGGAACTGTAATCAGTTTTTGGAGGGTAATTATTCCTCAATTCTGACTTCTGAATTTTCGTGTTACTTCTCTTACCCATCTTCCACAGTGGTTATTTAAATCTTTTCAGACCTCTTCCTTCGAGCTTAACAAATGACTGAAACGTACCTTAAAAAAAAAAAAGGGAGAATCCAGCAGGTGTGAGCTTTCTTCCTTTCTTGCTATTAAACCTATAAGCCAAACTTACCTACAACTATCTTTTCCCCCCTTTTTCTGTCATATTTTCATTTACAACAGAAGTGAATCTCTGCTCCTTCCTAAGGACAGTCCCTTCTCTTGTGCTCTGGATTTTCTTCCCTGTCTTCTCACGGACCTAGTCACACTCATTCTATGCATTTGAAATTTCTTTGCCCAGGTCTGCAGTGATTTCCTTGTGGATAAATCAAATGGACACAGTGTTATTTATAATAGTCAAGATCTGGAAGCAACCGAAGTGCTCTTTAGTAGATGAGTGGATAAAGTGGCTGAGTTACATTGGCACAATGGAATATTACTTGGCTGTAAAGAAGAGGGAAATCTTTTGGACACTATGGATAGACCAGAAGAATATTACGCTAAGTTAAATGAGCCAGTCAGAGAAAGACAAGTACCATATGATTTCACTTCTCTGTGGAATTTAATGAATGAAAATAAACTAACAAAATAGAAATTGAATCATAAATACATAGAACAGACAGACAGCGGTCAGATGGATGAAAGTTGGGGGGCTGGGTGAAAAAGGTGAAGGGATTAAGAAGGAAAAAAACCCCACGTAGACACAGACAACAGTATGGTGATTGCCAGAGGGAAAAGGGGGTGAATGGAGGTGGAAAAAGGCAAAGCAAGGATAGATGGTGGTGATAAGAGACTTTACTGTGGGTAGTGGGCGCATGATACAGTATGCAGATATGTTACAGAGTTGTACATTTGAAACCTGTATGGTTTCACTGTTGCCCCAACAGATTCAATTAAAAAAATCTTGCCAGCCCCTTCTTACCTGCTGGTATTTTTTGAGAAATCAGCTGATAGTCTGATGGGAACTCCTTTGTAGGTAACTGTCTCCTTTTCTCTTGCTGCTTTTAAGATTCTCTCCTTATCTTTAATACTGGGTAACTTAATTAGAATGTGCCTTGGTGTGTGCTTCCTTGGGTCCAACTTCTTTGGGACTCTCTGAGCTTCCTGGATTACCTTCAAGTCTATTTCCTTGACCAGATTGGGGAAGTTCTCCTTCATGATTTTTTCAAATAAGTTTTGAAATAAGTTTTTCAAATAAGTTTTCAATTTCTTGCTCTTCCTCTTCCCCTTCTGGCACCCCTTCGATTCGGATGATAGAATGTTTAAAGCTGTCCCAGAAGTTCCTAAGCTGCTCCTCATTTTTTTTGAATTCTTGTTTTTTCATTCTGTTATGGTTGAATGTATCTCTTTCTTCTGCTCCCAATTGTTGATTTGTGTCCTGATGTCCTTCCCTTTACTCTTTGTTCCCTGTATATTTTTTCTTTATTTCACTTTACATAGCCTTTACTTTCTCTTCCATTTTGCGACCATTCACTCAACCAGTTCAGTGAGCATCCAGGTTACCACTATTTTGAACTGCGCACTGATAGGTTGTCTCTCTGTTCATTGCTTAGTTTTGTTTTTAGAGTTTTGATCTGTTCTTTCACTTGGGCCATATTTCTTTGTCTTTGTGCGCCTGTTACATTGGGAGAGGCTGAGCCTTAGGTATTCGCCAGGGTGGGGCAACCCAGGTTGCTGCATTGTGATACAGTGTGTTGGGGAGGGGTCAGAGAGGGAACAACGCCACTGCTCCACTCTCACCTGGCTTTCAGTCACTTCCCCTGCTACCCACAAGCAAATTGGGCTCTTCTAGTGCTGACTCCCAGGAGGGTGGGTTTCTGTACATCCAAGGACCCTGTGGATCTCTCCAGCCGAGTCTTCTGTGAGGCTGGGAGTTTCTCCCGCTGCTGCATCCCCCACAGTTTTTTACCTCAGGAGGTTTTGAGGCTTTCTTTTCCCACACTGGAACCCTGGATTGTCCTGGCTTGCTCCCCAACTGTTCCTCTGATTTATCCCTACATAAGCGTGGGACCACCTGGTCTGCCAAGCTGCCGCCTCGTCCACCCCGTCCTCCACACTTCGCCTTGCCATGTGTGTCCTCCGCCCTGGTTGCCTGTCTCCGCCCCTCCTACTGGTCTGGATGAATGTTTCTTCTTTCGTGCCTTAGTTGTCAGACTTCTGTACATTCGATTTTCTTTCAGTTCTGGTTATTTTATGTTTTTAAATTTGTTGTCCTTCTCTTGGTTGTGCGAGGAGGCAAACTGTGTCTGCTTATGCCTCCATCTTGGCCAGAAGTCTATAAATGGACACTTTTTGATTCTTTATTTACGTGAACTTTCAAAAGGGTTTGACTTCTTTTTGGAATATTTTCCTTGTGTGACTTCAATTTCATGCTTAAAGAAAAGATTTCTAATTCTCTTAAGTGCTCTTCTCCATTTTCTTTTTGATGCTTGTCTTCCTAGTCATCTTTTTTTTTTCATGGTTTCAAAATTAATATCTATGCTCACAAATACACACATGTATGGTACTTACTTCTGAGCTATAGAATTACTGTCTACTGGACATTTTTATTTGATAGTGAACAAGCACTAGTAGTCGTGCCTATAAAAACCTACATATGAACAAATAGTATAAATTCTAAATATGAAAAACTGAAAGGGATTTAAAAAACTTTTTTTTATCCTCACTGGAGGACATACTTATTGATCTTAGAGAGACAGGAAGGGAGGGAGAGAAACATTGATTGGTTGCCTTTCAAACGTGACCCGACTGGTTCTGAACCTGTAACCCAGGCAATATGCCCTGATGGGAATTGAACCTGTAACCTTTCTGTTTACGGGACCATGCTGCAACCAACTGAGCAAGGCTGGCCAGGACTAAATGAATTTTTAGAACCTCTTTCCTCCAACCTTTTCCTCTGGTAGTCTCTGTTAACACTAATTGCTATGGTTGGTCAGATATGTGCTTGTTTCCTATGTACATTATGAATTCTTTGAAGGCAGAGAGGCATGTTCATGTTTTTCTTTATAAAAAGAGGTCTGTGGTCTGGCTTAATGCAAAACTGAACTCTTATGTCAGTTACTTAGGAATCATCCTTCTTGCTCTAAGTAATCAGCCATTTTTAGCTTGATTCTAAGTCCTACACATTACAGTCTGAATATTTGTCAAACTTGACACTTTCTTGATACTCTTAGTGCTGCTGTCATAGGCTTTCATGATGGCACTTGAGCTGTTAACATAGCACCTTACTGGCCTTTGTGGGTCTGTTCATGGCTATGCTGATAAACCACCTTTCTGGGAAAATAGGGAAAGCCATGATTTTCTAGGTATACCAGCTTCCATGGAACAAATTCTCTCACCACAGTCAGTTTTAAGATGCCTACATGCGATGTCCACTGGCTCACACAACTCCTGGAAAGTTAACAGTTAGCTCTCAGGAGCCCCTATGAGCCAGCTCCAAAACACCACTGTGTCACTGGTTCCTTTTCACTCATCATCCATCTGCTGCTAGAAACTTCTTAAAGTGATAGTGCTCTTGGCTTTAAAACCTTAAATAGGATATAGTCTGAACATTTTGATGTCTTAACAGCCCCTTTTTGAACTGACCCCCAACCTGCCTTTGGAACCTCAACTCCTATTACTCTTAATGCTTTTGCCCAACACACACACTGTGGTCTAGACACACTTGAGTCAGTCTTCCCCTTTATCTCAAAATATGCTGTGGTATTTGCTGCCTTTAAAACTTCCCTCCTCTTGGAATGGCTATCTCCATTCTTCTTTTCTGCCTGGCCAGCTTCTTAATTCTGAGTACTTGGCAAACTGAAGGAAATGGTTCTCAGAATTAAGGCCAAAGTAGCAGTTTCCTTCTATTACTCTATTCTTCTTTGAAAGTAGGCAAGAATGCAGAATAATATTTCCAGCTGCTTTTATATATATATTTCATATGTGTATATATATATATATAAAAATATATGTAATATATAAAAATATATATATTTATACATATATATAAAATAAAGGCATTCAATGTGTATGTGTCAGGCACTGTTCAGGCTCTAGGGATGTGGTAGTAAATAAATATTTTGCCCTCATGGAGCACCACACACACACACACACACACACACGGGGGATATAGACAAATTAAGTGTTTTCATAAGTACTCTATTTTGCTTGTTTCATAATCTGTCAGGGCAGTGTTACTTATATCTAGCATATGGTTAGGAATAGTGGATTATACCTATATTGAGCTCATTTCTACATATTTTTTTATTCGTAATTCTCCCCATTTTTTTCTTTTCACTCACAGGTTTGTGGATTTCTATACAGAAAGATATCTTAACATCTAACACCACTTTTTTCCTATTAATTGTCTGTTTTGAATAATTTCTCTTCCCATTTACTATTTTACCCCCAAATTCTAAATTTTAGTAATACCTGTAAGTTTTTATTTACCTATTTCTATTAAAAATCCAGATTCAGACTTCTGGTCATGATGGAGGGGTAGGTAAATGTGGCTCATGTCATTGCACAACGACAGCAGAATTACATCTAAAATATAGAACAACCATCACTCAGAACCATCAGAAAATTGAGCTGTATGGAAGTCTGACAACTAGAGTTAAAGAAACCACATTCATCCCGATTGGTAGGAGGGACGGAGGGGTGGAGATGCAGAGATGTGGAACCAGCTGGTCCCAAAGCCACATGTGGTGGACATGAAATGGAGGGATATCTTGGGAGTGAGGCATCCCACTCCCACATCAGACCACTCAACCCAGGGTTTCAGTACCAGGAAGTTAGGTCTCCATAGCTTCTGACTGTAAAAACCTGTGGGGGTTGGGTCAGTGGAAGAAACCCCAGGATTCTCAAGCCTCTGCTCTTAAAGGGCTTTGTACCACTCAGTAAGTCTTTACTGAGACTTACTCCCTCTGTGCTACAGCACTGGGGCAGCAGCTTGAGGGGCGCCAGTTGGCATACAGGAAAGAACTGAAGTGGCTGGCATCAGGGTGAGAGTGGGGGGACAGCTTCCTCACACACAGAACTGCAGACAGTGGCCATTGTACCTTTTATGAGCTCTCCCCCACACAGATCCATAGTTTGGCGGCATCCTATCTGAACTTCCGTCAACCTGGCTTACACAGTAAGCCCCGCCTTGACAATTACCAGAGGATCTGCCAAAGCTGGTAACAGCTTTTCCATAAGAAGGGCTGGTATAGGTGCAGGCTGCAGACTTTCCTAAATCTGCTCAAACAGCTCCCATACCTCTCACTGAGTGGCTCCAAGCCAAGAATGAGCAGCAGCCATCTGGAGATTGCTTTATAGCTTATGTCAAGGGGCCCAGACAGAACACAGTTGGAGGGTGACCTTTACCTGCATCACCTGGGAAACCTCAGAGCTTTCTCACTCAGTGGATAGATGAAGCCAAGGGATGAAGAAGGGATGAAGCAAAGAATCAAACCAATGATTTGGAACACAAGACAAAGATCCAATCAGTACAGCAAGAAGAAAAAAAAATCCAAAAACTTCAGGATAGTGTAAGGAGTCCCTGGGACAACTTGAGACGTTCCAACATTTGTATTACAGGGGTGCCAGGAAGAGAAGAGGAAGAGCAAGAAATTGGGAACCTATATGAAAAAATAATAAAAGAAAACTTCCCTAATTTGGTGAAGGAAATAGACATGCAAGTATAGGAAGCACAGAGTCTCAATCAAGATGGATGTAAAGAGGATCACACCAAGACAAATCATAATTAAAATGCCAAAGGTTAAAGTTAAAGAGAGAGTCTTAAAAGCAGCAAGAGAAAAGCAGTTGATTTACCTATAGGGGAGCTCCCTTAAGACTATTGGTTGATTTCTCAAAAGAAACTTTGCAGGCTAGAGGGGATTGGCAAGAAGTATTCAAAGTCATGAAAAGCAAGGACGTAAAACCTAGATTAGTCTATCCAGCAAAGCTATCACTTAGAATTGGAGAGCACATGTAGTACGTCCCAGACAAGGTAAAACTAAAGGAGTTTATTATCACCAAACTGTTAGTATATGGAATGCTGAAGGGACTCATGTAAAAAAGAGAGGGAAGATCACAACTATGAACATTAAAATGGCAATAAATACAGAACTATCAAGAGTTGAGTCTAAAAAAAAACCCTAAACATTCAAGCAGAACAGAAACAGAATCATAGATACGGAGAACATTGGGATGGTGGCCAGAGGGGAAGGGAATCTAGGGCGATGGGGGAAAAGGTGAAGGGATTAAGTACAAACTGGTAGTTACAGAATAGACGGGGTGTTGTTAAGAGCAAGTATAGGAAATGAGTTGCCAAAGAACATACATGCATGACTCACGGACATGAACAAAGGAGGGGGAATTGCTGGAGGGAGTAGGGGGTGCTCAGTGGAGGGAGGCTGGGGGAAAGATTAGGACAACTGTAAGAGCATAATAAAAAAAAGTCCAGAGTCACTGAATTACAACATTTTTTGTGCATTGATCGATAGATAGCAGAGACCATAAATATCAAATATAGTCAATTTTCATCTTCACTGACCTTGTTTTCTTGTGTTAAAGGTTATGGTGAGTAGTTAATTTTTAATCTTTTACGCAATATATTTTTTCGACTCACTTACAAAAGTTAGCTTTTAGCAGTGTAGCATATTGGTTCAGAATGTGGGTTTTAAAGCTAGATTGCCTGGGTTCAAATCTCAGACAGTTTGGACAAATTCCATGCCATGTCTGTACCTGCCTCTTCATCTATGAAATGGGGAAAATAATAGTCCAACAGGGATGTGTGAGGATTGAATTAGTTAATACTTGTAAAGTGCTTAGATCAGTCAGAGCTTAGAGTAAGCTCTCAGTGAACATTACCACTCTCTTCTGCTGTTGTCTCCTCCTCATTTACAACAAAGTATTTACAACATTTTCTGGTATATAGAAAGGCTTCAGAATATGTTAACTATAATTGTAATTACTCTGTTGTTTAATATCTGCAGTTTAGTACAGTGTAATTAATAAAGACTTTTCCTTATATTTTCTCCAGAATGTTATAGTGATTTTTTAAATGAAGACTTTGATGTAAAGACTTATACTTCCCAATCTATTCATCAAGCTGTAATTGCTGAACAACTAGCAAAACTTGCCCAAGGAATCAGTCAGTTGGATAAAGAACTACACCTACAGGTAATTCCAATCTTCTGCACGATACAGATTATTCAGCCTAAAGTGATAATTTATTATTTTTATAATCCTTTTATTTAATGCATATTTACAGAAACATATAACTTACTAGTATGACTTATTTTTCAAAGAATGCTTTTGAAAAGGTTTCTCTGTGTACTGTTAGTTGAAAATCTAATATACCCGTCTGTTCCATAGAGATCATATCCATGGAAAGGGGCTTGTCAGAATAACATGATATCTGAAACAGGACTAAGTGGAGGATATAGGAGTTCCAGTGAATGAATCCTTACTTATTAGGAGCTCCAGTTTACAGATTTGACAGGAAATGTCTTATTTATTGGAATAAAGTTTACAGAACGATAGGGACTTTTGTATTCTAAATATTTTCATGATTTCTTGATGTTTCTAGGAATCTCTTGCATGTGGACTTGAATTCTTAAGCTTTTTAGTTTTTTAACATGACCATTCACACAGCCCTATTTTTCACAAAAATATCAGCTTTCTGCAGGGAAGAGGATTTGCTGTGACTGGGAAACTGGAAGCAGAGAAATGTTCAGGGATGTGGGCACTGACTCTGCTTTGTCTTTCCAGATTGGAATGTGGTCTTGATGATGTTGAATTAGATTCAGGAGCTAAGAGAATCTGATGTTTGAAAATAGTCTTTAAAGGGAAAGTATATATAGCATGGCAGGAATTAGCGGTTTTTTATTTTTTATTTTTGGCACAACTCCATCTGCACATCCCATTAAGAAAGCAAGGGGCTAGTGAGAAGGCTGTATTTTTTTTTTCTTTTTTTCCTCTATGTTGAACTATAAGTGTGGTAATAACTAATCTCAAACACACCTTTGTAACCTGTATTTTTTTTCAGTGTCAGTATTTGTCTCCTTATGTGGAGAGATACCTTCACTTCTGCCTTATGGTTACAAAGAAAAAAATCTTAGAGCATATGCTAATTACTCATTTTTGATTTATAGGTTGTGGCAAGACATGAAGATTTACTGGCACAAGCAACTGGGATTGAGTCTTTGGAAGGTATGTTTCCATTAACTATTGCAGGTTATATAGTGCTAGATCAGGGATTGGCAAACTTTTTCTATTTAGGGTCAGATGGTCATTATTTTAGATTTTGTAGGCCATACTGTCTCTGTTGCAACTACTTAACTGCCATTGCAGAGTGAAAGCAGACAGAAAATATGTAAATGAATATGTGTGGCTATGTTCCAACACATCTTTAATAAAACTTTTCTGACCCCTGAGCTAAATTATCAGGGTACAGGTGCTTTCTTTTCCACTTACTAGATGTATGACTTTTAATGTTTCTGTGCCTCAGTTTTGTCTGTAAAGGAGAGGAATATTAATATGTACTAATATGGTATAATTCAGAGAATTAAATGAGTTAGCGAAATACTTAGAACCATGCGTGGCACATATTTAGTACTTCTATAACTGTTGGTTAATTAAAACAACTAAAACAGCAACGACACCAGAGTGGGTAGTTGTGGAAGTAAGCTTGAATTTTTCCTTACTTTTGGCTTTCTTTGAAACACTTTTCAATGAAAGTGTAGGACAAAAATAAATTGGATTTTTAATTTTATGAGTCCTCTTATTTTTGTTTGACTAACTTTTATGAACTTTTTGTTCCCTCTTGATTAAACTATATCTCATAAATATGAAATGTTAATATCGTGTTTTACATTATTACTTCTGTTGTGATTACTGTTATTAATCATTGCACATTAATAGAAAGCTAAGTGATCTTTTTCTGTATTGATGAAATTCTTAAGGAGGAAGGATATTGCTTTTTGTGATGCAATATTCTTTAATGCTTCCCTCAGTGTTTTTTATGCACTCAAAGGTGTTATTCTCAGCATGTACACTGTTTCTAAGACATCTTAATGAAGAACTTAGTATTTTCATAAATAATAGTTTGATTGGTATTTTAATGTTTAAGATGTGTATCAGACTGTGTTCTTGGGAAAATTAAGAGGCTCCAAGTACTGACTTACTACTGGAAATTAATTATTTTTTTAATCTATTTTATGTGTTTCTGGAAGCAAGTAAATAATAACCTGTTTTAATGGTAATTTTTTAAAACAAATGATAAATGATTTTTTTTATTAATAATACCCATAAGGATGGCATGGTAATACATTGATTCTGAGTGTATATATCTATGTATACATGAATCATTGCAACAGAAATACTTTTCATTGTGGTTTTCTTATATGTGTTTAGTTCTGTAATGTACTTGTTTTTCCTAGAATGATTTTCACTAATTAAATATTTAAAATATACTGTTGGACTGAGTAAGAGCAACTATTTGTTGGATGATTGTATAGAGTACCAAGGCTGGTTTCTCTGAATTGCTATGATAGTCTAAAAATATTCTCCAGATTATTTGAACATAAAAAGTCAAAGTATGAATTGGTTAGTATTTATTTTAGCATGATTTGTAGTTCTGACCCCTTTTGGAATATTATTTTGAGATACTGAAAAGTGTGATATATATGGAAGAGGTGTCTTTCTCAACTTCTACTTCATCTGCTTTCTTTCCTTTATACTTAAAATTTTGTCATATAAGTAGTTTGGAGATATCTTTATCAAGCCTATTTTATGAAAAATTGCATCCTATTTATTTATTTTTATTCATTTAAATATTAATTGAGAATTTACTTCGTTCCTGGCAGCTGTGATAATAGAGTCCTTGTCTTCATGGAATATTAAGTCTATTTTATGAAAAAGAGATATCCTCATTCATTCATTGTTCATGCAATCAAATAGTAATTGGGAGCTTGATAGGTGTCAGGCACCTGTGCACAATAGATAAAGTCACTTTTTCTCTGGAACTTAATGTTATAGGTGGGGAAGTAGACCGAAAAAAATGTACAAATAGGGAACTTAAGTTAGTTGCAAATTCTGTAAAGAAAATAAAATGGATGATGGAGTGGAGGAAGGGTAGTCCTTTACTAGTTAGGATGGTCAAGGATGGACGTTTTGAGAAAATGACATTTGAGTTGACATCTGAATGATGAGGAAGATCTGGGGAGATCTTCCGCATGAAAGATCTGGGGAGAAGCTGAGGGACCAATAAATGGGAAGGCAGTATTAGCTTGGCAAGTTGAGGGGCAGAAAGAAGTCCTGTATGACCAGAGTTTAGTGAACGAAGGAGAGAATTGTAGATGAGATTGTTGGAAAGGAATTTTGATTTCCTTTCTAAATGCATGGTAAACTGTTGGAGGATTTAATTTAGGGGTATTATGTGATAAGATTAATGCCCTTCAAAGTTTTATCTGGTGGTTCTATAGAAAGGCAAGAGCAGAATCCTTGATACTAATTTAGAAATTATTAGAGTAGTGTAAGTTGATTAGAGTGAGGAATGTAAAGAGAGAGAAAAAAATGGATGGGTAAAAGTGGGGGCAGAGCTGATAGGATTTATTGATGGGAGATAAAAAGTCACTGGGAGTGATTCCTAAGATTTTAGTCTGGAAAATTGGGTAGATGATGGTATGAGTAACTGTGAGTAACTGAGGTGTGTTAGGCTGGAAAAGATTATGATTTTGATGGGCTCAGGGTGGAGCAGAGGTTATTTTTCGCATCTTAAATTTGAAATAAGAGTTCAGGGCTAAAGACTTATGTGCATGTGTGTACATATAGATAGGCAGATAGAAAAGATCTATACATATATGTACATGTGTATATAAATGTATATACATATAAGATCTATTTTATTGAACAGATAGTATTTAAAACATTGGGATCTCTCTTCTTAGGGAAGAGAGACTGTATTATGATATGTAGAGAACAGAAGATGGCTGAGGATTAAATTTGAGAATACTCCTATGTATAGAGATCTAACAGGAAAAGTAGGAACAAATAATGAGATAGGAGGAAATCCAGGGAGTGTGATGGCTTTGAAGCCCAGAGGAAAAAATGTTTTAGAGAGGGAGGGTTTTAACTGTTTTAATGAATTTCTGAGATTTTGAACAAGATAAAGACAGAACTGACAATTGAATTTGGCATCTGGGAGATTTCTGGTGGCATTGGTAAGATCTGTCTTGAATGACTATATGAGAAGCTTATGGAGATTGCCTTGTGGAGAGAGTAAGTTGTATGGAACTAATGATAACAAGTAAGGGCAGTTCATTCTTGGAGGCTTAAGATTATTGAGCTGTAAAATTAGCAGAAAAATAGGAATCCTTGGCGCCAGAGAGGATTCTATTAGACTGAGCCATATGAAAGCGTACATATTTGTATGCTGATATGAATGTTTATTAGTTCTAATATTAGTTCATTTAACATATGACACCATTCTGTACTTAAATTTTTCAAAACTACAACTATGCCAGTTAAATAGGGTAACTGAGTTTTAAAGAATGAAGTTCAAAATAATTAAATCTGTAATATTGGAAAGCCTATTTTGTTAGGCATATAAATTGTAAAATTTAAGATCTATCTTTCTGAGAGTATTTTTACAATTTTGTAAAAAAACTTTTATCATGTTGTATAATAGAGAGTAAAGGCAACAATACCCTTGTCCATGTTTACTTATATAGCATATAATAAATTTAACAAATATTTATTGACTACTTGCTATGGGAAATAGTTTGAGTTAGGTTTTAGTCATAGAGTTGTGAAAGACAAAGATTCTCCCCTAATCACCAGGAATTTATAGTCTAGTAAGAGAGTGAAACAGATACACAGGTAGATATGTAATTACCTAATGTAGTTAGTGCCATAAAGGAAATCTATGCTGTAGAAGAAAATAACAAGAGAATATAAATTAGTTGAGGGACCTGTTAGTAATTGTTTATGATAAGTCAAGAGCGGAACAAATGGTAAATTATCCACTTGGAGCTTGGCGGTGGGGTTGAGGTTTGGAGAGACAATGCCAGGGGGAGAGTATACCATTTCCAGAGCATGTAGGGCCTTGTAGACCAAGCTGTGGGCCTTAGTTCTAACAGAGGAGCGAAGGGGAGACTGTGGAAGGGTTTTAGCAGAGGAATGTCATGGTCCAAGTTATATTTTTAAAGATCATTGAGGCTTTTTTTTTTGAAATTATAATACAATACATATTAACATGAAATTTACCTTCTTATCCATTTTAAAGTATATAATTCGGTGCCATTGATTACATTTACAGTGTTGGACAACCATCACTGTTTAGAAGTTTGTCATCACTCCAAATAGAAACCCTATACCAATTAAGCAGTCACTCCTCATTTCTTGTCAGACTTCTTTAGTAGAGCAGGGGTTGGAGAGGGGGGTAGCGACTTTTACAATAGTGCAGGTAAAAGATATTGATCACTTAGATTAGAATGGTGGCAGAAAAACTTGACATTAAAAACAATTGTGTTTTACTGATTTGAGAGAGAGAGAAAGAGAGGAGATAGAGGCAGAAGAGAGAGAAACATTGATTTGTTGTTTCACTTATTTATGCATTCATAGGTTGATTCTTATATGTGCCCTGACCTAGTGATCAAACCTGTAATCTTGGCATCTCATGACAGTGCTCCAACCAGCTGAGTTATCCAGCCAGGGCCTGAAATTTTCTATATATGTATATATATGTGTGTTTGTATATATATCTATTTTAATTTAATTTTTTGCCCAATTTGAGCCCTTGTAAATTTGTAAAATAATGTTAACTGTTATATTTTCCTAGGTGTTCTTCAGATGATGCAGACAAGAATTGGGGCGTTACAGGGAGCTGTTGATAGGTACTGTTGTTCGCTTTGTAAATAAATGGAATGGGAGGATTATCATCCGTTGATAATTTGAGGGTTATTTTATTATCACTTCTCTCTTTATTTTTCCTTTAGGATGAAAGCAAAAATTGTTGAGCCATACAATAAAATAGTAGCCCGTACTGCACAACTAGCAAGACTTCAGGTAGGTTCTCACTTTTCATTTCTTTATACTTTGTTCATTTTGTTTTTATAAGTGGACAGATTTGAAGTGAATTAATTCTGAGAAAACTAGAGAATATGAGAGAGAAGGGGGAAATACTAAAGGGCTTTAAAATAAGTTATGAAGTTAAAAAATACAAATCAAAACAACTGTTCCAGCGAATTATTCTCACTCTTGTTATTGCAGCGAATAATCATTTACTAACCTAAAAAAATAATTTTAAAAAATTACTTAAATTTTTTTAGAGAGAGGGTTAAGGGAGGAAGAAAGAGAGGGAGAGAAACATCAATTGGCTGCCTCCTGCACATGCCCTACTGGGACCTGGCCAGCAATTCAGGCACGTGCTCTGACGTGGAATCAAACCAGCGACCTTTTGGTTTGTGGGGCGACATCCGGCCCACTGAGCCACACCAGTCAGGGTGCACTGATTAACTTTTTTGAATTCAAAATTATTTCTTCTACTAGAGAACAGAAAGAACCTAGCATTTATACAACAGGGTGGAGATTGACTTGTGGGAGCCAGGGGTGGGGGCCGGTGGGGGTGGGAGAAGGGTAGGGGAGAGCAACGGGGAAATATGTGGAACAACTGTAATTTAACAGCAATAAAAAAAAATACACATACACCTTAAACTTATTTTAATAAAGTGGGGAAGAAAAACATTTTGTGGAATACTGAGCATTTTTCCTACCAGCAATATATGAAAGTTTCAATTTCTTTATTTCTTACTAACACTTTAAAAAAATATAGCCATCCTTTGGGATATGGAGTGGTATTTCAACATTATGATTTGAATTTCCCCAATGACTAATGATATTGAGCATTTTTTATTGTGCCTGTTGACCATTTGTATATTTTCTCTGGAGAAATGTCTATTCAAATCTTTTGCTAATTTTTAAGCTGGGTTATTTACCTACTTCCCTCCCTGCTTACCTCTCTTATTCCCTTCCTTCCTCCCTCCCTCCCTTCCTCCCTCCCTCCCTCCCTTCCTTCCTTGATTTGGTTACTTTCTGTGCTTAGGAGGTATTCCATTGTGTTGTGGCTTCCAATTTAGTTGCCGAGAAGCTGTCATTTTCACCTGGTCTTTTGAAGGTAATCTGTACCTTCAGTTCTCCTCTGGCTTTTAGGACTTTCTCTTCTTTTGATTCCCTTCTGTATTGGACTGTGGTTTCTTTTTATGCATTTCATGTGCAATTTGTTTTTCTTCTTCCACCTCTGAGTTTTATTATTTCTAAGCCATGATTTCTTCAGATATGCATCATTCTGTCTTCTTTTTCTTTAGATTCTGAGTAAATATATGCTCAATGTTCTCTCTTTATCATACAAGTAATTTACCTTCCTTATTTTACATATTTTGTCTTTTTATGCTGTTCTCTGTGGAGTTTTTTCTGATTAGTTTTCCTTTTCATTAATTCTTTAGTCAAACTAGTCTTATTTATTATTTTGCTAAATTTTGGTTATTATATGCTTTATTTTTAGAAGCTCTGTTTTTATTTTCCTAAAATGCTATATCACCTGTCCTATTTCTTGTTCCCTGATTTTCTGACTTTGAATATGTTCTGATGAGGTGTTTTATTGCCCTGCCCTGGTAGGGAAAGTATTTGTAGTCTTTGTGGGTATATTTATTTTTGCAGTGTTTACTGGTTCTATCTAATGGCATCCAATTTCCCTGGGGAAAATTTGCCTGGTTTTCTTTGGCTGTGTCCTACACATTTTACTTGAAAAGTTATTTTTTAGAATATTTGAGTCCTTCTGAGAGGATTTGATTTGTTTCTTTAAAAAAAAATCATGTTTATTCTATTACAGTTGTCTCAGTTTTTTGTCTCTTTGCCCTCCTCCAGCCATCCCACCCCGCCCTCCTCTCCCACAGTTGGTTCCCACTCTGTTGTCCATGTCCATGGGTCATTCATACATGTTCTTTGTCGAGTCCCTTCTTCTTTCACCATTGTCCTCCTTCCCCATCCCCTCTGCTCAGTGTTTCCACGCCTGTGGTTTATTTTGTTCTTTAGTTTATTTTGTTGAATAGATTCCACTTACACGTGAGATCATATGGTATTTGTCTTTCACCGGCTTATTTCACCTAGCATAATATTCTGCAGTTCCATCCATGTTGTTGCAAAAAGTAGGAGTCCCTCTTTCTTTTTCTTTTTTTTAAAAAATTAATTAATTTTTTCAAATACATTCATCTCTGCCTACCCCCCACCACTTTCCCTTGTCGCCTCCCTCCCTCCACTCTTCCCCTTTGGTTTTGTCCATGAGTCCTTGCTATATGTTCCCTAACTTTCCCCTTCCCTTCCTTTTCCCCCAGCCCCCCTCCCTCCTTCTCTCTTGTCTCTGTTGGTGTCTTTTTGCTTTCAGTGTTGCTGGTCTTATTTTCCTTGCAGCTTTGTATCGTTGGTTAGGTTCCACTTGTAGGTGAGATCATATGGTATTTGTCTTTCGCCCCCTGGCTTATTTCGCTTAGCATAATGCTCTCCAGTTCCATACATGCTGTCGCGAAGTTTAGTAGTTCTTTTTTTCTTTCTGCTGCGTAGTATTCCATTGTGTAAATGTACCATAATTTTTTGATCCATCTACTACTAGATTAGGTTGCTTCCAACACTTGGCTATTGTAAATTGTGCTGCTATGAACATTGGGGTGCATAGGTTCTTTTGAATTGGCATTTTGGGATTCTTAGGGTATAGTCCCAGCAGGGGAATTCCTGGATCAAAAGGCAGTTCCATTTTCAGCTTTTTGAGGAAATTCCACACTGCTTTCCACAGTGGCTGCACCAGTCTGCATTCCCACCAACAGTGTACTAGGGTTCCCTTTTCTCCACAGCCTCGCCAGCACCTGTTGTTTGTGGATCTGTTTATGATGGCCATTCTGACTGGTGTGAGGTGGTACCCCATGGTGGTTTTGATCTGCATTTCTCTGATGGCTAGTGATGCTGAGCATCCTTTCAAATGCCTGTGGGCCCTCTGTATCTCCTCCTTGGAAAAGCGTCTGCCCAGGTCCTTTGCACATTTTTTGATTGGATCATTTGTCTTCTTGGAGTGGAGTCAAGTGAGTTCTTTATATATCTTGGAGATCAAACCTCTATCTGATGTATCATTAGCGAATATATTTTCCCATAGGGTTGGCTCCCTGTTCATTTTGCTGATGTTTTCTTTAACCGTGCAGAAGCTTCTTATTTTGATGAGGTCCCACTTGTTTATTCTTTCCTTTATGTCCCTTGCTTTAGGAGACATATCAGTGAAAAAATTGCTGCGTGGGATATCTGAGAGTTTCCTGCCAATGTTCTCCTCTAGGACTTTTATGGTGTTGTGACTTATATTTAAGTCTTTTATCCACCTTGAGTTTATTTTTGTGTTTGGTGTCAGCAGATGATCCAATTTAAATTTTTTGCATGTAACCATCCCGCTCTCCCAACACCATTTATTGAAGAGGCTATTATTGCTCCATTTTATGCTTCTGCCCCCTTTGTCAAATATTAGATGCCCATATAGACCTGGGCTTATTTCTGGGCTTTCTATTCTGTTCCACTGGTCTATGGGTCTGTTCTTGTGCCAGTACCAGATTGTTTTGAGTATAGTGGCTTTGTAGTAGAGTTTGATGTCCTGTATTGTGATCCCTCCTACTTTGTATTTCTTTCTCAAAATTGTTGCGGCTATTCAGGGTCGTTTATGGTTCCATATAAATTTTTGAAATGTCTGTTCTGTTTCTGTGAAATATGTCATTGGTATTTTAACAAGGACTGTTTAATCTATAAATTGCTTTGGGTAGTATGGACATTTTGATGATATTAATTCTTTCAATCCATGAGCATGGTATATGGTTCCATTTATTTGTGTCATCCTTAATTTCTTTCTTCAATGTTGTATAGTTTTCTGCATACAGGTCTTTTACCTCTTTGGTTAAATTTATCCCCAGGTACTTTATTTTTCTTGTTGCTATATCGAATGGTATTTTTTTTCTGATTTCTTCTTCTTCTATTTCATTGCTGGTGTACAAAAATGCCTTTGATTTCTGAATGTTGACTTTGTATCCTGCTGTTTTGCCAAATTCACTTATTAGGTTGAGGAGTTTTTTGGTGGAGTCTACAGGGTTTTCTATGTACACTATCATGTCATCTGCAAACAATGATAGCTTTACTTCCTCCTTTCCTATTTGGATGCCTTTTATTTCTTTTTCTTGTCTGACTGCTGTGCCTAGGACTTCCAATACGATGTTGAAAAGAAGCGGTGAAAGCGGACATCCTTGTCGTGTTCCCGATCTTAGTGGGAAAGCTTGCAGTTTTTGCCCGTTGAGTATGATGTTGGCTGTAGGTTTTTCATATATGGCCTTTATTACGTTGAGGAATGCCCCATTTATTCCCATTTTGCTGAGTGTTTTGATCATAAATGGGTGCTGTACCTTATCGAATGCTTTTTCTGCATCTATCGAGATGATCATATGGTTTTTGTCTTTTCTTTTATTTATGTGATGTATTACGTTTATTGACTTGCGTATATTGAACCATCCCTGCATCCCTGGGATGAATCCCACTTGATCGTAGTGGATAATCTTTTTAATGTATTGCTGGATGTGGTTTGCCAATATTTTGTTGAGGATTTTAGCATCTATGTTCATCAGCGAAATTGGCCTGTAGATTTCTTTCTTTGTAGGGTCTTTATCTGGTTTTGGGATTAGGGTGATGCTGGCCTCGTAAAAAGAGTCTGGGAGTCTTCCCTCCTCTTGGATTTTTTGGAATAGTCTGAGAAGGACAGGGGTTAGCTCTTCCTTAAATGTTTTGTAAAATTCTCCTGTGAAACTGTCCGGCCCTGGGCTTTTGTGTGCCGAGAGTTTCTTGATTACTGCTTCAGTTTCCCCATCTGTTATCGGTCTGTTCAAGCTTTCTGTTTCTTCCTCCTTCAGTGTTGGAAAAGTATACTTTTCCAGAAATTTGTCCATTTCATCAAGGTTTTCAAATTTCTTGGCATATAATTGTTCATAGTAGTTTCT